AATACTGGAGTTAGAAGAAAAATGCATAGAAACTTTCTTTGTAGAGGATATCAGTACCTACGACTTCCGTATAAAAAGCTTTTCGCCAGCGTCAACAATTAATTGGATATATCCTCCTATACTTTTTAGCACGTAGCTATTTATTATTAGCATTATTCTTCCGACGTCTGATTTCTTTTTAATTATAGGAAATGCGTTTTTCTAAGGTTTTTTGACGAACTTTTCCTTAAACTGTCTTATTGGACGACCAGATGCGATGTAAAAAATATAAATGAAACTCTTTATGTGTCATGCTTCTAAGAATCGTACCGATCGGTTGCGGCAATTTTTCCAATTTTATCTTCCATCCTGTTTCATTACTGATCTGATGCATCAATTTCTTAGTCTCTTGCTTTTCATTACTTTCTGCTTCATCGTCTGTCGAACCTGCATCTTCCACAGCGTTTTGTTTGGACATGTTATTCTTCTGACGTTTCTCCTCGATAGTTCTGTTCTTCAATTCCTGCCTGGCATGTTCTCTCGCTATTACTATGTTTAAAATAGACAAACAGTCCTCGTATTTTTGCATGTCCAACTTCAGTTCTGTGTCGTTCGGTCGCAACAAACTCTGCAGACACGCCTCCTTGTACTTTCTGTAACTCTTCCTGTGCTCGAGGATCCTCGGCCAATTGTACGGTCTTACATTGTAATTTAACACAGAATCGTAAGCGTACTTCCACCAGCCAGTCGGATTTTCCTTCGCGGTCCCATCCGGCCGATACTTCACATACGGTCTGAAAAGATTTATTTGGAAAATGCATTTGCAGGAAATTCGAATTTTAATTAAACATCTGCGGTCTAGTAGTAATGAATAAATTCGGAGAAGCATAGCGATGCTGCACGTACTTGTTCACGGTCGCGAGGGACAGCGAGTCGTAGAGATAGCAAAAGGTCAGGTACTGCATCTCGGAGACTTGCATGGCCACGTCGTGGAGAACGATATCGACCAGCATGCGAGACGTTTGCGACTCGTTCCCCTTGTGTATGATCAGTTTTATCTTGGCGGTGAACGGTTTTAATACTGCAACGCAAGATCCTTAATATCTCCGGTTGCTGAAGAGACTCAGCCGTACACTTACGAAACTGGAACTCCTTGTTCCTCATGCCGAACGTCTGCAACGATTGATGCATCACATTTTTCCATTCGAAGAACGCAGCCATGTCCCAATCACACCTGTTGCTCGTGAACGCGGATTCGCTGTCATGATCCATGTATATGCTCAAGGATTCTGCCCTTATTAATTGATAAATTGTGCTCAAATTACCGGCACAGACACCCGGTTTCCATTTACTAGAAACGAGAGTCGAAATGGTAAAAGATCGACTGAGAAAAGAAGGGAAGTCGGGGAAGTTACCTGTTCGTAGTCATCACCGATATACTTTGCATACAGACGCCACAAGCGCATAGAGATTCGTTCAGTTTTTGCTCGTATCTAATATGTACATTATTTATAGTGATTTGGAAGTTCTTTGTCACCGACGCCAGCAGGTTGTCGAATAGTTCTAAAATGTATTACAAGTAAGAGATCCAAAGACTGTAACATCACACCGATGATCGACTACCTATCTTTGACGCTTCGTCCTTCTTCAGATCCTCCAGTATCTTCCTCTTCTCCGCCCTCCTCAGCTTCTTTTGTATCTCCGCGTCGTACGGACCATCGGCAGCGGGTACAGCCACTATATAAATATCCTTGAAAAAGAAGTTAAATCGAACAGTGTTTTCATTTAATCGGATATGACAATTTTTTACCTCTATGCATAGGATGATCGGTTGAGAGAACAGCCCGGACCATGGTATCTTCAGAACGATCTTCCCGATCAGACCAACTTCTACTCTGATAGGCAGACCCAGTTGATACTGGAAAATCGTGCCGAGCCGCAACGTTAGATTCTCTTACGCGGTCCGTTCGGACACGGAAAGGGTGGACTGTGCGAAGGGAAAGTTCGCTTACCAGAGCCTCGGGTTTCAGCTTGAGATCGGTGAGACAGGTGTCCCCGGAAAAGATACCGACGTTAAATTGTTCGGTGTCCAAATCCTCGACATAGTTGCCCAACAGCCGATTTAAGAACGCTGCTATGGCACCCTCGAACATCGTTCCGCATACAAATGGTATTATCGCTGGGTGGTGATGTTTACCTCGGGCATTCGGTGTTTCCTATTTGGCATGGATTCTCCTCATAACCTTAAGAGAATTTCGTAAAATAAATCCCGTCATGCGCGAGGCAGCCACCAACATTTTATTGATCCCGTTTTCCTCTCGTCGCGGGATTCCGTACCGGTGCCCACCACCGGCCGTTTCACGCATAGCTGGCTCCGCTCTTATCGAGCTGCTGTCTGCTCCTCCTTCTTTACGATTGAGAAATTTACATTTTCTTCAATACCTCTGGACCATTCGGCTCTACCCTACCCCGACTGGAGTCTGAATCAATTATGAGACGGCGGCCGGTTCGAGAGAGACGGAGACGGACATCTCTCGGACTCGGATGACCGTCGCAGGTACTTCTTCTTACAGGAATTCACATTCGAGTTAGGATGCTCGAGAGAGGAGAGCTCCGACATTCCTTCCAGGGAAACCGAAGGGAAGGAGTTTCTTTGAATTGGAGAACCTGGAGAACGCAAAGAAATAAGACTCGTTTAATGATTGCGTTCCTCGTTGTATTTAATAAAGCACCCCGGTACAAACTGCTGAGAGTACAATGCAAGAATAGTCGAGCCTGAAACTTAACAAAGTTTACACCGTCTTTAACATCGTCTTTAAAAGTTTTCTTCGGTGTTGCCAAGTACGTGAACATAAATCTATGGCCATAGCAGATCCGTGTATTGTTACAAGAGTCATTTCATTATTTACATCAGAATTCAATCGTGCACGTATCCTCGTATGGGCGCATTCTTAAACGTGAACAAATAGTTAACGAAATTCATATAATAATAATAATAATAATCATCATCATTCTTGGTACTCTACATACGGCGCGCATCAAGGAAATCTGTCCTCTAATCATTAATGATTATGACTATAGTGATTGCGATTTATCCGTAGCGATAACTATGAAACAAATGAGAGTTCGCTAATGTAGATGTGCTCTAATCGAATTTCGAACGTGACAATGCGTTTCGTTCGACTGCGGGATCCGCTAGAGTGATCTTACGAACAACTGAAAGAAGAAATGCGTTATGCGTTTGCTCCTATATACAGAGAAATGTACATTTATGCGAAGAATGTCTCTTAAACGATCAGGTGTTTCGTTTCACCTGTGTTCGGATCGACCAGGACTTTCTCCTTGCCGCCAGGCTGATTTCCAAACGAGTTGATATCGGCGAACGGGAAGAATCGTCCGTCCCCGTACTCTTTGAAAAGTAACTCGGCAGCTTTTTGTTTCTCCTCCTTCCCGTTAGTATTGATCTTCTTCATCGTTAACGCGAGCAGTTCTATGATAAGATAGGATTCCGGTTTGTAAAGTCTCGTAAAGTGTAGCCTGATATGTTCGCCGACGTTCTCGTCCTTTCGTGGTATGTAATCGCAGTGTGGACAAGACGGTGTCATCCGCTCGATACCGTGGCGACGTTTGTGAGCGTCCATCGCGTCCTTGTCGCACGTGGAGAACGGGCAGCTCTGACAGCGCAACGTCTCCGGCTCTTCGTTCGAGGGCGAGAGCATCCCCTTCTTCTGCAGCAGTATCATGGACTGCCTGTCCTGATTCGAAGTCTGCGCCGCGGCGAAATTCGACACCGACGTACCGTTTGCAGACGCGTTAGCCGTCGAATTGCTGGACAGTTTCAAAGTCTTGCTCGATCGCGAGAAGGAACCCTGAACGTGGCTATCGACGTTGATGGTGTCGTCCTCGAACTGTCTACGCGAAGCCTGCGCCTCGGCGTTCGCCTGGTGCTTCTTCAGATGCTGTATGTAATTCGCGTAATACTTGACGGAGTAGTCGCACGTGTCGCAACGGTATCTCTGTTTCGCGCCGTGTAGAGTCAAATGTACCCTGTACTGTTCCCGTTTTTCGAAAGCGGACGGACACTTGTGACACTTGTACCGCTTCTCCTTCAGGCGACCATTTCGAAAGTAACCGGGATAGACGAAGTTAGGATTGCCGCGCATAAACAGTCCGAACTGTGGATCGGGCGGTGGCGACAGATTCACCATTTCGGTCGTTTCGTTCTGACGACGGTGAACCACCTGATGCTTCACGAGGTTTTGCGCAGTCTTTGACGAGTAGTCGCACTCGGTGCACTTGAATCTGTTGTTCGATCCATGCAGCGTCATGTGATACTCGAGAGCGTCCAACTTGAAGTAACGCGCCGGACACTTAGCGCAGGTGAACACCTGATTCCCGGTCCGTTGATTAGCGTCGCTCGCGTTGTCGAAACTGTTGTTCACGGTCTCCGTGATCTCGACCACGATCCACGCGACGGTGGGAGCCGAGTTGCTCGACTCCTGCTCGTTCGCCTCGACGCAGGCGGTCGTTGGTGGCGGATACCGCTGCGAGTGACCATACAGGGACAGCAAGTACTTTGTACGTTCCTGATACTCCGTGGAATGTGCCTTCTGATGGGCCAGAAGGTGAGCCGGTTGCCTAGCCGCGTACGAACACCACTGGCATGAATAAGCCAGCTCCGTCGAGTGGTATCTCAAGTGAATCCTCAATTCTTTCTCGCAGAGGAATCGCGCCGGACATTTGCTGCAACAGTGCACGAGTCTTAGATCTCGTAAGTCAGGTTCTGCGCCTAGCACAGGGGAATGCGTCAAGCCGAGGAGCGTGGACAAGTCGCTCAATTGCTGCGAGTCGGGTCTGGTCTCGTCCACCAAACAATGGACCGTGCCTAGGGAACCGGAATGCATGTCCGAGTGCGCGACCATCACCTCGCGTCGCGTACAAGTGAAACTGCAGTCCGTGCAGGCGATCACGGGACCGTTGCTGGGCGCGTCTAAGTGCATGGTCTCGTGGTCTCGAACTTCTGCGCGCCGCGAGGACACGAACGGGCAGTGGCGGCATTTCAACATCTTGGTCAGCGTACCGTCCGGCCGGGATACCCATACTAACGGGGCTTCTGGCAGTGCTCGAGTATCCAGAAGCAACGGCGGCGGGGCTCCGGAGTTCTTCGAAGCGTTCGTGAACGATGTCACGTTGTTCTGAGTCGTTATGTGAATCACCTGCTCGGCCGGCTTCTCCTGTTTCATCCGATTAGAACCTGAAACAACGCGAAATTGTAACATCAAGCGACGCGAGTAAAAGAGACGTTTTCGAATGCTTTGAACGCACTGTTGGTGCTCAAAGAGGAACGCGCTTTCGACTTGACCGAGAGATTGTGATCCGTACTTTGCTGATGCACAACGGCGAGCTCTTCCCCGTGTAGTCTGACGTGATCCAAAAGTTCCCTGGAAAAGTAGTATAAATAAGTATCCAGTGGAGGAATCGTGTTGGCGGTAGAAAGCGTGTGATACGTACGATTTCGTACTGACGTAGTACGGACACAAGTAACATTTGAAAATAGCTTCTAGGTTCGGACGATGATGAACTCTGTGCGTCGACAGAGCTGCTGCATCCGACGCAGAGAACGGACAATCTCCGCAACTGAACACATTCTGAGAAACGCATAAAAGATTACTGACATTACGTCTTCCGCGCGACCAACAACAGATACCGTAACAAACTCGCACCTTTTCTTCTCCGTGACGTTGTTCCGAATCGCTGTGAGACTTGACGTGCACCGAGACGGTCTCTCTGTTGGAATGTCTAAAGTTACATCGCTTACACTTCCACATGGTGCGTTTATTGTCCTCGGTGACCGAGGAAGAGGCGGAGCTGCTCAAACCGCTTTGAGGGGAGATGAGATTGTTCTTGAGCAAAGACTGCCCTTTGCTTCTTGCGGCAGCTTTGAGAGGTGGCGGCGGTCTCAGCCCGATATTGATTGAATTATGGCCTCCTTCGCTGGTGGATACGGCCGAGATCGGAGTGGACGTTAGCTCTGGCGTTTCCAGATAATCGCTGCTGTTCATAACAAACAATTTGGTCGGCGGTTCGTCGGAATTGATCTCCTCCACGCTACGTTCTTCCATACTTTGATCCTCCCACTGCTGCTCTACCTGAAATAGGAATAAAACGATTCGCGTGTAATAGAACACTCGTCGTCACGTGCGTATCTGCGACGACACCGTTGACGACGACGGAAAACAACTTTTTGGTCAACGGAAAACAACTATTCGGCACACTGAGAATTTCTCTTGGTAATACAAGGCAAAGGAATGAAAGTATCACGTAAAACAAAAGATCACTTTCGAAGGTACACACTAAATATTATCGTGTCGGTTTTAATTACTAAGAATATGCTTGTAATTTGGAATCATAACACCAATCAAGTGTCCAAGCGCTTTAATTTAAGGAAACAGATAATTCGGCTAGGTTCGATCAATCGCAAGGATCATCACGCGTACTTGTCGCAGAGGAAATCAAGTTAAGATACGTAAATTGCAATAAGAAAACGAAAAGGTGTCAGTGCGCCTATGCAAAGCGACAAGCACTTATCTATCCAACTAATCTGTCTTTTGTCTTTCGCTAAGAAAAAAATTGTTTACACGTAAAAGTGAAATTAGTGCTTTCACCTGTGATAAATATTTGTTATATTTGGAATAATTCCGTCGTCCTGTTTCATCCGTCATAAGTACCCTGGCAGTCGTATGAAGCGGATCTTTAACTGCTTTAAGTTTAATATGTTTAGTGATGTCCCATCGCCAGTTAGAGCGATACGCGCACAGGGAACACTCGAATGGCTTCCGATTTAAATGACCGACAATATGAACATGAAAACGACTCGCAGTGGATGCCCAAAATGGACAGTGCGGGCATTTGAATACCCGCCGGCCACTTGGATGCGTCGAGGAACCTTCAACCTGACAAAACATTTTATCCACCTTTATCAAGATCAACTGTACAAAATCATTCGGGAACACAACGGTCTACGGTCTCGACTGCCATAAGTAACATTTAAAGCACATTCTTAATAATAAAAAAAAAAAACATATATGTACGACAAAAATATATATATAAATTTATTAAAACAATAGTTGCATACTCGAATGAACAAAAGAGTGGATAGTCTTTAAAGTGAACTGAAACGTACTTTAAACAATTAGTCTAATGGCCGTACGGGGTGCTTGCAATCAACACATCTCAAATACAAATTGACATCGACTTAAGAAATAGTCAGATCTGTTGACTCTCGTATTGCAATTTTCCCACGATCACTATTCGTTACTATTACAATTATTATTCATTCGTGTGCATGTGTTCGGATAAGTTTATTGTGCACGCGTTAGTTATATTATTTCTGTGAAACACCATACCGATGATCCAGAAGAACTCGGCCCGCCGGTATTAACGTCCCAATCCGTTTGCGCTGGGAATGCGTATTCGCCGCGATACGAGGTCACACGGAGTTCTGAACAATTTGATAATTTTTCTAAGCTATTGTGTATGGACGTATCGTTGCCTGCCGAGCGACGACACTGCGTCATATGCTTTTGGAGATCAGTCGAGCTTTTGCACCGTCTCCGACACCTCGGGCAACGCGTCGTGCCCACAGAGACACTGAGAGCAGTGTGGTGTGTTTGTTTGTGACAAGCCAGCTCTTCCATGCTACTAGCTTTAAATGTACACCAGCATTTCATATCGTTCGTGGTACTTACAGCTACCTCGGCCACCCCGTTATTTATTGACGCTGTCGTGGTAAGCTTTTCCTTAAGCTTATCAAAGAACGACGCGTTCTTTTTTTCAAACAAATCTGCCGCGTTACTCGCATCCTTCTTTAAGTTCCCGGCCTGTTGGATGAATCAGCTTGAATTATATGACGAAAACCAAACGAACAATCTTTACCATAGATACAAGCAAACACGACTAACTTCTTTATTCCCGTATAACTTGGCCAGTTCCGTGTCTCTTGCGATTTGCGCGAGTTCCGGTCTTACCCTGACACGCGGAACTTTCAGCAACGTCGTCGGAGGACCGCCGACGGTAGCGTTATTCGCTTTCGAAGGAGCTAAAGGTATCAGCATTGGCAGTGGTTTCCTGGACTTGCTCGGCGTGATCGGAGCGTGACATTCTGCCAAATGTCGCTGCATCTCCGAATCCCACGCGGTGATAAATTGGCAGCCTTTCTCTTCGCATTTCAACGCTATACACTCCGCGTTGGCTAACGCGCTTCTCTTATCTTCCATAGATTGATCAGAAACGTATGGATCCCCGGAGCTAATCGACAGCGTCGTGCTCGAGGATATATGCAGCGAGTCACGAAAATCGCTTGCACCCACCTGACATTGTTTCGTAGAGACCATTAGTCCGTCACCTGGTTTGTCAAGCATTACGTAAAGATAGGAATGTTTCAATGGTTTCAAACCTGATTGTAACGTTTAGGACTGTTTCTCGGTCTTCGTTCGAACGCTGCGTTGGATTTTCGATTCGTCTGACCTACAGGAGGTTCGTGATGATTAGTTTCGTGTACCGTTAAACTCTGTCTGATGTCGGCTGTAAAATTACAAGCACTGCATTGGAAGGCTCCACCTCCACCATGATTTCTGGTGTGCCTATCTAAATTCCACTGTAAAGAGAACGTTGTCTGTTTCTAGCATTCCATCGTCGAGATAATGGTAAACCCTGTGGAAACTGTACCAACCTTGTACGGTGTTCGAAAATCACAGGCATCGCACTTGATCATTGGCATCGAGTGATACTTGACATGCTTCGTGTAACGAGCACGTACATGGGTCACGTAAGAACATTTAGCACATCTGAAAAACCTCCTTTTCAAATGGTGCACTCTTTGATGACTCTCTAGATCCCTGGAGTTCAGTGCAACGTACGAGCACATGGAGCATCGGTTTCCAGTGTCACGAGCAAATTTCCCCTGAAAAGTAATTTTGTATACTCTTCTTCTTCTCAAAAACATCGTCAACACCCAAGGGTGTAACATCGAATAAAATTCTGGTTGTCGCTCGAATTACAAATTTCATTTTCTGAACCAGTGTAATATGTTTCAATACGACTGTAACGTCGTTCTGTCATTTACAAGAAACAAAAAGACTCTTCTTCTTCTTCTTCTTCTTCTTCTTCTTCTCTTCATTTATCAGTATCGTACAATTTATTTTTATTACCACACAACTCGTATTTATTTGAATCGCTACGTACCTTTTGCTTATGCTCTTTTTTCAGATGATCGAGATACGCCTTGAGACTCGGCAAAGGCTTCGGAGGCTTACACGTTTTACACTCGTAACTCTGCGACGGCCCTGAACAATCGAACACATCATGCTCGCGTTTCAAATCACTTTCCATTTCGGCATCCTCCTCCTCCTCCTCCTCCTCCTCTTCCTCCTCTTCGTCGTCGTCACCGTCGCCGTCTTCTTCGACGATATATGAAACGTCCTCCGCGTCGCTCTCGTGTCCCTTCATCGCGACTTCCTGTGGATCCTCTTTAAGGTTACCTTCTTCACGGTGCTCCGACTTGAACTGCTTGGGCCGCGGACGAAGTGCACGCAACCGGGGCAGCCTTCCTGACATGTCGGCCAAGACTCGTCGCTTTGTCCCACGTACGCTCGACCCGTGTCCCTGTCGCGCATCCAGAGATACCCTTTTTCTTTATCTTCCTCTAGTTTATTCCTCTCCCCGATCTACCGAACGTGATTTACACCGTATCGGGGTAAAAAGAAAGGAGAGAGCAACCAGCAAACGTTCACTTTTCCATCGGGCCTTCCTCCTCTCGTCTTCTCCTTCCCGATGATGGCATTACTAGAATGTAGAGCCACTGTACGTCGCGCGTGCATTTCACGCGAGTTTAAAAACGGTCTCGCAGGCGAATACGAGTACGAAGTCGGAATGCGCCTTCATTTCGAGCATGGATCCGCGCGGCTCTCGACGGGGACGGTTCCTCGAGGTCAATTTATCGAGCCGCAATGGGAGAGACTGCTGTTGGAGCACGTTACGGAAGTACGAGCGCAGCGTACTCGGTGGTCGCGCGATCTAGAGGCTACCGGCGCCATTTTTTCTTTGCCAGCGAAACTGCTGACGAGGAAGGCTGAACGTTCCCTTTGAGGAACCCTGCCCTTCGCGAGGCAACGATTCGTAAGATAAAACCAGCGGAAATCCGAAAGTATCATCGTCAATTTCCTACGCGCTCGATCTCGCCTAATTATCCAGAGAACTCTCGACCTCGTTAATATACTCGAAGGACATCGATTCGAGCGAGCTTCTTTACGGTCTCCCTCCGCGCGTACAATTTTCGGGAACGGTAAAACATGCAATTGAATCAATATTACAGATTCAACGAGCATTTTCTGGTACACGCGAACAGCGGCTTCCTAAGTCTTCGCATTTTTGGATGCGCGTTCTATTCCGCGGCTATCGCGTTTCATAATTTAAGCGAACGCTGAAACAAAAATAGAAACAGGTATTTTCTCACTCGCGATAGTATTCGAACGTATAATTATTCTCAATATCCCGCCTTTCCTACTCTTGACATCCGGTTTAGACTACGCGATACGCGATGGTCGATCGCGTTACGCGTCAACGTGTAGCCCGAGCGTGCATTCGTTGCGTACCTGATGCGTTAACCATTTTCCCTCGATCACAATCCCGATGCGAAAGTCGCAGTTACTTTCTTTGCGATTAATCCTTACGGAGGAGGAAACCTCGTAGAGTTCGAATGATCCGGCAGAAACGGCGTGTGATCGAGAAAGAAAGAGAGAGAGAGAGACAGACAGACAGACAGAGAGAGAGAGAGCAGATTTGGTTTTTCAACACGCGTGCCGTGATTTCCGGTTTACCGAGGACTCGCAGCGTGGGCGCGCGTGTGCGTGTCGCAGCCAAGGGAAAACGGGGAGGAAATAGAGTCGCTATCTCGGTTTCATCTACTGTAAGAAAACAAACCTCGAGGAGAATTAAAGTAGGCAGGTTATCTTCCGACCGAGCCGGAGGCCGTGGCCATATAGTAAACGTCGATAAATCCACGATCCCGTATCAATCGATTCGTACGGCCAATCAGGTGCACCGGGATTACCGTCGCAACTTTAGGTCTTACGATTTTCAGCGCGGACGAAAGAGGAAAAAAGATCGGGTACGCTCGTCGGACGGACGGATCCTCCGGTTCCCTCCCTCCTATTATTCCTTCCTTTCTCTTTGCCCGGCACGAACGGTCCCCGGGTTCGTCGCTTATCTCGTTATCGCGGTCTATCTTTCGGATACTACCTCTTGCCGTCAGCGCTAACAGCTAGCCGACGACGGAACGGAACGGAGGATGAATTGTAGAAAGACTACGAGCAGAAGAGCGAACCACCAGCCACCTCCTTCCTTCTCCTGTTTCTCCTCCTCTTTACGAACGGAACTACGGGACGGAGCAGCGGCGATGGCGATGGCCAAGTGGCGCAGGTCAGGCGCCATCTGCAATTCCAATTCTGATTCTGCTCCTCCGTTCTGCGGGCACACATAACACGCTCGCCGCCCCCACTTCCTCTCGTTTCAGTTTCTCCTGCAGCCCTTGCCACCTCGATGTCCCACGGCTGCCGCAGGAGAAGAGAATGGACCGATGACGATGGTTGACATCGCTGAACCAGCGACCGCGGCGGCGGCGACGGTTACCTCATCGTTCGAGAACGCTTCCTCCACTCCAGAATTGAAAGAGCGACGATGCGAGTTTAGCGGACGACGGATACTCGAGGACCAAGGACCAAGCTCTTTCTTTTCATGCACGCTCATCGATACACATTTAATCATGTTCGTCATGAGAAATTGTCTTCCCTGCGGGGAAGATATCCATTTGTACTAAACGTTAAGCTCAGTTAAGCTAAGAACATTACTGGTACCAGCTTTTACAAAACACGAGTATACAACTGTAGTGTACATATATTGTAAATGTTTTCGCTCATGGGAACGATAACTCTTCATGGCGAACGATTAATCTCTGCGCCGGCTGATCTATCGTGGTGATTATATAATAATACTTGTTTAACGTCACAAGTAATTCACGCTTTGCGTCACTCCACGTTTTCCTTAACCATCGTTCACGGTTGATTCTATCCGATGCAATTCGTAGGATTGACAAAACCCACACAATTCATTATTATAAATGTCTAATATAATTTCCTAATCTCTTCTCCTTTCGTTGTTGCAAAGAGTACGTACTGTTTGCTCGTATAACAAACCCGGGGGCGGGGTGGGGATTGGGGGACATACTTACTTATAGATTAATTAAAATATAAGAAGAAGTAATGTTTTCATAGACATTCGACTGTTACCTGTTGTTTATTTGTCGATAAACAACCTTTTTTAGCGCCACGTCAGATGATAACGTGTATCAATCTATTACGGTCCTACGGATGCAAGCGTTAAATCGGGACGGACATCTACAGTTTCAATTGTAGGTACTGAATTATTCCTCAATGGAAAGGATCGTCATCGCATCGCTTGTCGTTAGATCGTTATTATTCGTTCACACCTTTGAACATCGAATTAGAATTGACGAGTTTGCAAATCGACAAAAGACCCAGAGTAAGAGTTTACCCTGATAGGTGTATGAGAATATTTAACCTAAATCTCAATTTCAATTATATCCTATCTGTGTATGGATCCGGTACCCTCTTGTTCCACTTGGTAAAAAAATGAGTATATTCCTTGATCTTTATTTTCTATCAGAGATGTAGCTCCGTACATGCTCTCCAATTGCATCATTTCATAATATTTGTAATGATAAAATATGAATTTTACATAAATTCATTACGAATGCAAAACGACGGAATAAATGAATGTGTCAGCGAAGGCCGGAATCGCGCACCTTTGTATGCACGCGTGTATGAGCGCATTCTGTATTCGTATGAGTACCTAAAGCTACGAAACCATTTCAAAGTCTATTACTGAATATTGATTCGCGATACTCATTACTGTTTGCCACGAATAACGTATCACCAGTTGTCGTATGTTGCAGTTACATTTTGTATAAATAATTAGATACTTGATCCTGTTCATTACTTATTTCCTTCGCTGGGATAAGGAATAAAAATTGAAGGCTGAACGATTCGATGACGAGACACTCGGTTCTTTGTTCAATAAAAATAAGTTCGCTCGGTTTTACGATAATGTCGATAAGATATAATGCATTGGTCTCGAAGTAACGGTTTCGAGCTGTGCAAAAAATGCGTATGGTTCGTACAAAATTTATCGTTCGTTACGAGTACGTAATCGATAATTGGGAAACAAAGAGACAAATACGCTTGTAAAGGAAAACGAAGCAGAAGAAAATACATACTTGTTTATTAAATTAAACAATCCTTACAGTTAACAATCTTTTAAAAAATTAGTACAAGTATACATACAAATAGATAAAATATTAAATCGAAACGTTGTAAACGTATATCTGTAATATATTAAGTTTTCGTTCTTCTCGTATCGAATCTCGTTTACGCGATATAATGCACACTAAATTAAATGCAGCTTTCTTTCCCGCAACCGATAATTAGTTTCCTCTGTAGGTACTCAATACTTAGCCAGCATCTTGCCAGAGAAATTGAGTCACTTCAATTGCTTCTTCAGATTCTCTGCCAGTTTGTTCATGAACTCGAACGTTTCTAAATAATCGGACCTGGTAACGTTGTTCATGCCTTTAATACAGATCGCGAGATCCTTCGTCATCTGCCCTGATTCGATGGTACTGATGCAAACTTTTTCCAAGGTCTCCGCGAACCGTTTCAAGTCTGCATTGTTATCCAATTTCGCGCGGTGAAGCAAGCCTCTCGTCCACGCGAATATCGAGGCAATAGGGTTGGTCGACGTTTCCTTCCCTTGCTGATACATTCGATAATGTCTCGTGACCGTACCGTGAGCGGCTTCGGCTTCTACCGTGCGTCCATCAGGACAGATTAAAACGGAGGTCATTAGACCCAGAGAACCGTAGCCCTGTGCCACGGAATCTGACTGAACGTCGCCGTCGTAGTTCTTGCAGGCCCATACGAAACCACCGTCGGACTTCATCGTGTACGCTACCATGTCATCGATGAGTCGGTGTTCGTACCAAATCTTCTTGGCCTCAAACTGCGACTTATACTCCTTCTCATATATTTCTTGGAAGATGTTCTTGAACCTACCGTCGTACTGTTTCAGAATAGTGTTCTTCGTGGACAAATACAGCGGATAATCCCTCGACAAAGCAAATTTGAAGGAACTGTGAGCAAAGTCACGAATACTCTCATCCGTATTGAACTGAGCCTGAGCAATGCCGGGTCCCTTGAATTCATGCACCGTGTGCTGTATCTTTTTTCCGTTATCTCCGGTCCACGAGATTTCCAGTTTACCAGGTCCTGGCACTACGAAGTCCGTAGCCTTGTACTGATCGCCATAAGCGTGCCTGCCGATTATGATCGGCTGGTTCCAAGTGGTCACCAGTCTCGGTATGTTCTTGCAAATAATAGCTTCGCGGAAAACCGTGCCACCCAGTATGTTCCTAATGGTACCGTTTGGACTCTTCCACATTTGTTTCAGCTTGAACTCCTCTACTCTCTTCTCGTCAGGAGTGATCGTGGCGCACTTTATCCCTACATTATACTTCTTGATAGCCTCCGCACAATCTACGGTTACTTGATCAGAGGTAGCGTCGCGATTTTCAATTCCTAAGTCGTAAGTGTGCAGCTCGATATCTAAGTACGGTAAAATTAGTTTCTCCTTAATGGAATCCCAGATGACTCTTGTCATCTCATCGCCCAGGATATCGACCACTGCTCCAGCCTAAAATAAACCGTTAACGAATAACATATCGAGTATGAACGTTACTACGGATTCGTGTAACGTTCCATTTCTCCCACGACGATAAGTGCAATTCATTGCCACTCGGTAGAATTATTTGAAATTCGTACACGTTCGAAAGGGAATAATATACGTACTGCGTACGTATGCCGGTGATAACAGATGTCAGTGTCACTTGGCTTACCTTTATTTTCGCCATTGCCGCGGACGACACAGCAAATCTCCTAATGAAAGAACAAGACGAGTCGTCGAATGACTGGAGTAGTCTCGGAGACAGTATTCTCGAGGAGGCAACGTTGTTACTACCCAGCTCGATACGAGCTACGCTTCTCATGAATTGCACTTTCCTCCTCATAAAGCGGTGGGGTGAAAACATGGCAGCGCTTATCGAAGAAACAGGTCAACTTTCGTAATTTCTATCGTAATCCTTTGCTCCGTACAGATCTCGATAAAAGATCTCTCTAATTTAACGATAGGATTAAAATTTGACCTTCGTTGCTCGCAGATTTATCTATCGTCGATTTATTCCAACGTTTCATGAGTCATACGCGTGAAATTTTATTAGGGTTTATAAGTCTCGAATTTGTAAACCAACGAGTTAAGATTACATAAGGGAAACGGCAAAGAAGGAAATAATCGCGACTAATTTGAAGATCGATGGTGCCGATGGACCATCTGCAGATGAACTATCCTCTTATAATAGTAAACGATGTCCGTTATCATGTCATATGGGTTCTGTTATCTCTTTGATTTCCGTCTAATCTGTGGAGTTTGTACTGTGACAAGGTAAACAACGCTTACGTGCGAAGATTCAAATGAGAATCTACTTCAATCAATTACATTCTGCAAAAATGTTCAAGTGAAATGTATATTTTATTATTGTGTTTTGTGTCATGTCATCACTTCAGAGATATGGTAGAAACTCGAGTAGAGAAGTCAATTCGACTATGCAGATATCTATTTTCAGAAATATATTGGAAAAGAGTCACACAAAAACAGAATGATTAATAGGAGATGAGTAAACACAATATTCGTAGAGCTCGCATGATATGTTTCAAAACAATTAAATATCCTATCTCTATCCTGACATGGAAAAATATTATCTCCTCTAAATATATATAAATTAGCTTTATCTCGAATAGACTTCATAAAACTGCATTAATTTCCGTACTGATCGTAAAAAAATGTGAAAATAACTGTCAGCTGGTTTGTTACGTGTGACATTTAGAGTGAACGTTGTCGTTGTCGCCGTCGCCGCCTCTGTGGTTCATGTAAAACGCGCTTTAAGAATTGAATCATCGTCCACTTGAATTGTTACAATGACACAGTAATTGAAAAATCTAAGTTTAGATCGTTCGAATATAGACGATTTGATTAGTACGGTCGACTTTACTTGAAGAAGAAACAAACGAACAGTTTTATGAAAACCATGATCTTCGTAGACAGGCTGGTCAACGTAACTCGGAGAACCGGATGTGAACCAAGTCCAGGTGCAGATCCGTGCGGAAACGATAGAAGGAATAATCTGAAATTAGCTGCGACGAATCGTGAGCAACTTCCCAAACTTTATTAAACAGATTTGATCGAAAATATCGGTTTTAAATTGATAAGTGTGAAATTCGAAGCCAGAGTGATACGGGCGTACGGGAAATAGAACAGGAGGATATAGTTCCTTTTGCCCAACGCCACGGAACAATGTAATTCGTAACGGGCGAATCTATATCGACGACAGTATCCGTGGATTCATGTGCATGGAGCGTATCGTTGTGAATGATATATTGTGCACCTAACATCGGATCGTAGGATGAAAACTTGAGTTTTCACGATCTAAATTCACTATGTCTCGAGAGACGCTGGAAACGTATCGACGGTCACGTTAACGTGTTCGAGGGCAAAAGAAATTTGTGTGCAACACCCGCGATCCCCGACAGATTCATTTCGACAGCGTTGACAGGCGTGCGTGATACTTTCTTTTCTTCCTTTTTTTCTCGCTCCTTCGCTTCGCCTTTGTTCGGCCATTCTCACCGAGTTTTCCTACTCTCGCGACTACTTTTCCCTTTCACTTTTCAACCCTTAAGCGGCGTTATCCCCCATTTTTGTTTGTCAGGTAAAAAAGAGACGTCGCTCTCTGCCCTCTCTCCCTGTCACGGCCCCATTCCTTCTCTCTTTCTCCTGGGTGGTCTCTCTCTCTCTCTCTTTCCCTCGTTCTCTCCTCTTCTAGGACACATCGCGTATTTGTTTCCTTTATTTTACTAAATGTCCACGATAACGACAGAATTTTTGTTAAACACGGTGAATGGTGGATGAGTGATCGTGTATACACGCGACAGCCGAACCACCGTGGCTGATTCCAAATCGTACGCGAGTGAATGCTCCTTGCGTTTAACTGGTGTCAATGTATACACGGTGTAACGTTATCGTAGCATCGGCCAGAGAGCATTTTTAAAGCGAATCCTCGTCCAACCAACAAATTCGATCATGATGAAGGGCAGTGGAATGGTCAAGAAAGAGAGCAAAATGCGTATACGTGCTTTCCCGGTGAGTATCACCCTTCTTTTTATACCCCCCCTCCCATTTAGCCTTTATTGTTCTTGCGACCCTTTAAAACCAATATTTACACCTCCACTCGCTTCGTCCTCTCGTTTTGATATTCATACATCCTCCGCAATTTTTATCCTGACTCGACTCTCTCATTTTCCAGGCATCCGATTTCAGTTGAAATCTACATGTACACATGTAGATTTTTATAACCTGTTCGTTTTTAACATATGCGTCAAGCTGGCAAGATTTTAATCACTCGTGAGAGAACGTTTTATATTACGATGCATAGTATGTAATATAATATGAGCATACCGTAACCACTGTTTATTCTGACAGACACTTGTGTTGATCTTTCGACAATTTTATTCAAAGCATCATTATATTCTGTTACAAAAACAAATATGCCTGCAGTTTCCATAATGACATAAATAAAAAGAACTATAATCCAATTATTCCTGATATCTTTCGACTCGATTCATCAATGAAAGCTGTAATATGTACTGAATCTGAATATTGTATACTTGTATTTCTCAGACTCCTCGTCGCAAGATGCACAGTTAGATTGACCAAGGGATTTCCTAATGATTTTTATTAATAAAACCAATTTATCCTCCCTTCCTTATTTCCAATTGCCTGTTCAATTCACGATTCCGAACTATTATTATTTTAAATTCGTTCTAATTAAATTACTATTGCCACCTTTCATTCTCTTGTCCCGCCTTTGTACGTTCTAGACTACTATGGATGAAAAGTATGTAGAGAGCATTTGGGCGTTGCTGAAAAATGCGATTCAAGAAATCCAGAAGAAGAATAATTCCGGGCTGAGTTTCGAAGAACTTTACCGGAACGCTTACACGATGGTCCTTCACAAGTATGGGGAACGTTTGTACACAGGTTTAAAAGAAGTCGTTACCCATCATCTGGAGAATAAAGTCAGAGAAGACGTGCTGAGATCGCTCCATAACAATTTCCTTCAAACGTTGAATCAAGCTTGGAACGATCATCAGACGTCCATGGTGATGATCAGAGATATTCTGATGTACATGGACAGAGTGTACGTGCAACAGAACGACGTAGACAACGTGTACAATTTGGGACTTATCATATTTAGAGATCAGGTAATCTGACGGAATTTAAGACCGATAAACTCGAGAACTCGACATTTATCTGTACGTGCTTTCCTTCAAGGTGGTTAGATACGGTTGCGTTCGAGATCATTTGCGAGAAACATTATTAGGTATGGTAGCGAGGGAGAGGAGAGGAGAAGTAGTAGATCGTATAGCGATTAAAAATGCCTGCCAAATGTTAATGTTACTTGGTATTAACAATCGCCAAGTTTACGAGGAAGACTTCGAAAGGCCTTTTTTACAACAAAGCGCTGAATTCTATAGAGTGAGAGAACGTTGCTTCCTTCCTCTTACGTCGTCAATCATTCCAATCTCACTGACCATCGTTCTTTTCTGTTCAGATGGAATCTCAGAAATTCTTAGCTGAAAATAGTGCGTCGGTATATATAAAGAAAGTCGAGGCTAGAATCTGCGAGGAGTCGGAGAGGGCGAAACACTATTTAGACGAATCCACCGAGCCGCGGATAGTAGAGGTCGTAGAAGAAGAATTAATTAAAATCCATATGAAAACCATCGTCGAGGTACGAGCTGACGTTGCACTCAGTATTTTTGCAACGTGAATGACTCGCATTTGTAATCACACGACTTTTGTATGAGTAGATGGAGAACAGCGGTGTAATACACATGCTCAAGAATCAGAAAACCGAAGATCTCAATTGCATGTACAAATTGTTCTCAAGAGTGTCGGATGGTTTGCGTACCGTGTGCGATTGCGTCTCGCAATTTCTCCGCGAACAAGGCCGTGCCATGGTTCAAGAGGAACACGAGTCGACGACGAACGCCGTACTCTTCATTCAGAACTTGTTGGATCTGAAAGACCGTTTCGATCACTTCCTTCACTATTCGTTTAACAATGATAAGAACTACAAGCAAATGATAGCCTCCGACTTCGAGTACTTCCTAAATTTAAACACGAAGAGCCCGGAATACCTCTCGCTCTTCATCGACGACAAACTGAAGAAAGGTGTCAAAGGGGTGAGTTCTATGAAGGATTCTCGGTTTTACATGAACGTAGAACACACGTCAATCGTTCGATCGTGATGCGTTTCAGATGACAGAGCAGGAGATCGAAGGTATCTTGGATAAAACCATGGTTTTATTCAGATTTCTTCAAGAGAAGGACGTTTTCGAACGGTACTATAAGCAGCACTTAGCCAAACGTCTTCTCTTGAATAAATCCGTGTCCGACGATAGTGAGAAGAACATGATATCCAAACTTAAGGTAAAATCATTTGCTTTCCTCGGCTTCCTGATCGTTCTCGCGCTCGCTAATCGACTCGATCGACAATCCATTTTAGACTGAATGTGGATGCCAGTTCACATCGAAGTTGGAAGGGATGTTCAAAGACATAACAGTTAGTAATACAATTATGGATGAATTCAAAGATCACGTCCTTACGTCTAACGTAAGTAAATTATGCGTCACTTGCTGTTACTACCGGCAGAGTGTGTACACTCTTGTCATTCGTTCTTCTTCTAGACAAATTTACACGGCGTCGATATAAGCGTGAGGGTTTTGACGACCGGCTTCTGGCCAACGCAGTCTGCAACGCCGAAGTGCAGCATGCCAGCGGCACCACGCGATGCTTTCGATGCCTTCCGACGTTTCTATCTCGCGAAACACAGCGGTCGACAATTAACGTTACAGCCTCAATTAGGTGAGTGATCCAGCATCGATGTCGTTCGTTTACCGTTCTTTATTTAAACGCGATCCGTTCAGGTTCCGCGGATTTAAATGCCGTGTTCTACGGGCCACGAAGGGAGGAGAGCAGCTGCGGCGGCCTGGACACGCCGCTGTCCTCGAGTTCGATCGGAAACGGGAGCAGCAGCACGAACGGCAGTCTCCTGAGCCAACGTAGCAGCGGTTGCGGTAACACGAGGAAACATATTATCCAAGTTTCCACTTATCAAATGTGCGTTTTAATGCTCTTCAATAAAAGAGAGAAATTGACGTACGAGGTCAGTTTAAATGGTAGTTCTTATTTCTCGATTCTGTACACGATCGCCGTCCCGGTGTCACACGATTATTCTGTACAATGTATGAAACGTTGCGTAGGAAATTCAAGGTGAAACCGATATTCCAGAGAGAGACTTGGTTAGAGCATTGCAATCTCTCGCGATGGGCAAAGCCACGCAGAGAGTGTTGTTGAAGCATCCTCGTACGAAGGAAATCGAACCGTCGCATTATTTCTGTGTCAACGACACTTTCACTAGCAAGTTGCACAGGTAAGATTCGGTTGGATCTCTGTCAAATCCTAGTTCGTACGAAAAACTGTGATTCCCTTTCAGAGTGAAGATTCAAACGGTAGCGGCGAAAGGCGAGTCGGAACCCGAAAGAAGAGAGACTCGCAACAAGGTAGACGAAGATAGAAAACACGAAATAGAGGCAGCTATCGTCCGTATCATGAAAGACAGAAAGCGCATGGCAGTACGTATCCGTTTGCCGTCTCACCGACTGAACAAACGCATTGAATATTGTCCTCACGTTCGTGTTGCATTCCTTTCAGCATAATATACTCGTAGCGGAAGTAACAGAGCAATTGAAAGGTCGATTTTTGCCGTCGCCCGTAATAATTAAGAAGCGTATCGAAGGTTTGATCGAACGTGAATACTTGGCACGCACGCCGGAAGATAGGTATGCACGATCGTTTACCTCGTATCTATCCGTTCTCCGTAGAATCTTCACTGTTAACGTGAATCTCGTTTGTTTCGATTCCAGAAAGGTGTATACGTACGTTGCTTAATGCTCGAAATAAAACGGATCTGTACAAAACATGTAAGTAATTTGTAATAATACCTACTCCGTCAAATATATCTAAAATCTGTCTCTCATCGATAACCTGATATTCTCGTCGACCGTCATTGTCAGTTTCTCTTCATTTTATTCGCCGATCAAGATTGTTATCGTTTTTTGGTGTTCTCTCGTGAACGTAACAGTGATACGCGCGTACGAGGCATTCCACATCAACGGCCGTTGAGCCGTATGAGAACACGGAACAGATTGCACTGATCCAACATTCCATTGATCCGTGGTAAAATCGTTTCGCACTTTCGGATTCGAATAGTTTCTGAGTAGAGAATCGGTGCACCCAGGATGTGTCCCGCGACCAATCTGAGGACTAATTAACTGTACTGCGGCTCGCGACGGTCGAAAATCTTTAATGGAGCTTCGTCAGTGACTTTATAAAATGAAATTCGATTATTTGATGTTGATTGCCTCGAGATTTAAAGAGAGTAGTTAGATGTGGTTGATATAATTGACTAGTGTGGTGGAAAAGGTTGAAGCAGAGAACGAGCATAGGATAAAAGTTTTATAAATACGTTCTGATAATGTTGTTAATAATCTCTCTATCTCTCTCTCTCTCTCTCTCTGTCTCTCTCCTGAGTTTACTTCGATTACTATTATATATTTCAGTCGTGTCTGGTTGATTTAGGTAAATATATGAACATACTTGTTACAGTAGCGAGGAGCTGTAATTTAAATTAAACATAGCGTTTAATTAAATATGCGTTTATTAGTAGTAAACGGAAAATAAATTATAATCGCAGAATATCGAAAAGCTGTAGGCGCATTACTATTAAGGAAATTTTTTTACACTTATAAACCTGTGATTATATCTATGATGGTCATAAACAATTTACATGGATGTACCATGAATCTCATTAAACCATTAGTGTTATACGATGATTTTATTTACATCTCACATATGGCTCTCAATCTCGATTACACGTGTACATAAGCAGTGTGAATGTATGTGTAAGAATATAAGTTTGCCTCGTTTCTAGTATATAATTATATTTTATTTTGAACATTTTCAATGTCCCACGAAACAAATACTTGATAAACGCGTACTTCCCTTCTTTCTTTCGATCTCTCTCTCTCTCTCTCTTTCAAGCTTCTGAATAATCTGTACCTTCCTCGTCGAGGGCAAATAAAAAAGTACGAGCGACAGAGCTTCCGTAGACGCCTTACAAGTTCTACCTCTTCCACCTAGCTCATCAATTATTTCACAACAATTAATCCGGTTCTTCGTTAAATTGCAGAATATTTATTGTAGTATACCAAAACTGGAACCTGTACGAATCTGTAACAGATGCGGAGTTTATTGGTGGAATTAAAAAAGAATATTGATAATGATGATTAATAAGTAAAGAGTGCGCGTATGAGCTTATATAAGAAAGGATGATGAGCATGATGACGCAGAGAGAAAACAAAAAGAAATTATCATTGAAAATCCATATTATTACGGGCTTGAGTCGCGATAGACAGAGCAAGTCTCAAAATGTGTCTATATAAATGTCTTGGACAACATTTTTATTTTCGTTTATATCTTTATTTATTAATATAGAGGTTTAATATTTAAACAAAAGATTTTACCCTTTCTTACGCAAACTGAATAAAAAGTAAAATCCTGTGAAACCAACCAGTTCTTAGAATTCAGCACATTAATCACGATCGACCCTCTTTGTGTCTTATTCCATTTTCTAACGATCGTTTTCACCCTCAAGCAAGGTTTATTTAAATTTCTTTCAAGCGCTATCGTTGCTACTCCAGAATTTATATATATATATATATATATATGTATGTATGTATATATATTCTGTAGTGTCTTACAATTAATGAAGACGTAAATTGAATTTCTTACTAGATAATGAAATAACATTATATATAAAAGACACACATAAAACACGTGGGAAATATAGAATTAGAAATCGATATTTCGCGTTAGAAGATGGAATTATGTTCTCGAAGACAGCAGTCGCTCTCAATGAAATTAGTATTACAATATCGGTAGTGTGATCAGTTTAATAATTACATAAATTTTATGTACATTCACAGTTATCGTATGATGCTACTGAATTCGATCGCCAAGAGCCAGAATTTATCCACAACTTAAACGATTTAATACGTTCGTAATCAATATCTGTATCGTCAACACTGAAAGTAAATGCATTATTGTGTAATGTTTATATACCTGTTTTACAACAAACTGCGCTTGTCTTGCTTTCAACAGAAAAACGAGCAGATGATATATTTTTTTCATGCTTCTTTTTAGAATCGTACAGATCGTATGTGCTTGCGTCCGTTTACAACGACTTCAAAATACAAATTGTATACAATATCATACAGTTAGTTTATTATATTTTTTTGCTCTGAAAAATTTGTTAATTCACTTTTATAAACATTACAATTTGCACATAGTAATATCATTGTCGGTAGTTAACCAATACTGTACACATGCATCTCAATTCAACTTGTTTTTCATGTAACAGATAGTGTCTATGTTGGCTTGAATTAAATTAGCTGACGAGCGGCAGGCATCGTGGTGAGTAGAACTGGTCACCTGTGGTTATTCGTTAGAGGACGACGACTCACGCCTCTTTTCCGCGTATTTTTTCGTAAACTCCTCGGCGTTCTTTAAAAACTTTTTTCTATCCTTTAAAAACTCCTCGGCGAGGTCCGCCCTTAACGGATGCTCTGGTTCTGGATCATTTACTAACGCTATTAAAGCTTGTACGACTGGAAACAATACAGTGCACCGTCTCGTAAAATCTGTTACGTTGAATCAACCACGAGGAACAACGATAGAGAAGTTTACCTTGGTCTGTCTTTGTAGCTGGCTTCCAGTTTTCAGCAGTTATGATTGGTAAGCATACTTGTCCCTTCTCATCCACGTTCGGATGATATATTTTTGTTTTAAAGTTTATCTTTGGAGGCTTAAAAGGATATTCGGCAGGAAAATTGATTTCGATACGAAACGCTCCTTTGTTATACGGTGGATTATCCTAAAATCAGACAGGTAACGCATGACGAGCACCTCCGAACAGGAGAAACTAACGGAGAACGTAATTGAGAGTTGCGATCGTAAACGATCGATGGTTTCATCGATCCAAGTTTCAATTTATACGAAATCAAATTGTATCGCGGGATTGCATAAATCTAACTATAGTAGTCTTTGCAAATCGGATTAGGCTGGGTTAGATTAGATTATATCTCGGAAATAGAATGACACGCGAAAACATACCGGCAATATAAGGCCTTGCCAAGTGAGAATGTTCGATTCGTCCACTTGAATATTTGTAAAGTTTTTCATTGCCGAAGCTCTTAAATCCCCAAGTTCCTGGAAAAGAAATCAGACAGCCACCGTAAGAACCCGCGGTTACCAATGTCATGCTTCAACACATATTTCACATGGAGCAATGAACAATGAAATACATTCGAAAGAATTTAATACGCGATCGTCGACGAATTACGCAGCATGAGTAAAAATGTTGTGCATCATCATGGAAAAGCAGGATGTCACTTATGAGTATCAGTTATGAAAATGAATTCTGTTGAACACCCACACGACGATGATCGTGTCACGATTTCGGGTCCCTGCTTGGAACGTGTTTTACATACAATGTTCCAGGCGAAGATCATGCTTACTGACAGAAACATTTGATTTACCTTTTGCAATCTTCTCGTGGCTGCCATTTTGAAAATAAATTCCACTAAAAGTAGCAAAACTTGTTAGGTTCCTTGGTGATGGCTTCGCAACTACTCCGCCTATGAAAATACTCTAGTATCTTTCCTCCTATTCAAATATCCTCCACGAACACGAAACCGTACAAGTTCCTTGTCGCCGAACCTTTGTTTCGCGACACCGATTTCACATGAATAAAAACGTAGATATTTACTCGCTCGATCACGAATATCAGTCGCTTATCCGTCCATTCGTTTAGCGCTCTCTGACTCTGTACCTGTACACTAGGTTATCTTGATTGGTACTAACACAAACGCGTGACCGCGGTTCCACGTGAAGTCCGACGCGATACCTAATTCTCATTTTTGTATCGAACTCCCTCTTCGTGCGCATCGCGCTGCACTTCATGCAGTACTCGTTTGTTGCCGATTTGGATTTGTTCCACACCCTTATGTATTGTGTACGTTGGATGTTGGATTCACGTTCACGTTGTTCACGTTCTCTTAAACCATTTCCTCACTCGTAATGTGTCAAGAAAGCTGTCGAGCCTCAGAGGCTAAATAAACTTGGAACAAATTCATTGAGTCATCGTTTGATACAAAAACGATCTGACATCATGTCGAAGGAACATATTAATTTACCCAAAGCTCCGAGAGATCTATGCTTCTCGGAGCTCGATTTTATTCAAGTAAGTCGTTATTCTCCAAAAAATCGTGTTTTAGGTCTCTAATCTGATTCTTTGTGATTCTCCAGCAAAATTTCAATGTGGACACTTTCCTTCAAGAGCATAGGAAGAGTACGAAATTGGAAACGATGCGAGATGATCTCGGGATATACTTGAAACTACTCAGGTCTGCTATGATCGATTTGATTAACAGAGATTACACAGATTTTGTAAACCTATCGAGTAACCTGATCGGCTTAGATAAAGCGATCAATGATTTACAAACCCCTCTAGGACAGTTAAGAGAAGAAGTGATGGTAAGTTGGACTAAAGAATATGTTATTGCCTATTAACGCTAAACCTGCTGACCAGTGACTGGCTCACGGTAGATTTAGCACTGATTAGCCTTCACATAATTTTGTTAATATCCTTTATGACAGCAAGTGAGACAAACGTTAGACGATGAAATTATGGCTATTACTGATAACGTAAATGAGAACAAGAAGATCAGGGAATATAAGCAAAGCATATTCAGTTTGCAACACATTTACAAGTCTCTAAACAAGCTGTACTCAATATTATCTTTGACAACGTTTCTGGACAGTCCTGCAAAGATAGATATCCTGGAGCAAGCTGCGGCGGAATTTAATCAGTTGCAATTTCACGTATCCAGATGCAAACTGGACGCTGTTTACGACAAGCAGAAAGTATGTACATCTGAAGTAATTGGAGTTAAATTTCTCCTGCATGTTGAAATACATATATATGTACATTACAACAGGAAGGTGAGAAGCTTGAACAGTCTTACGTGACGCACCTGAACGAATTCTTCCTGGCGTGTGTGCAAGAGAAGAACTCAGCTCTGTTAATCCGTTGTTTAAAAATTTATATTACTCTTGACAAGATAACCGATGCCGAGAATTTAGTGAAGACGGAGATCGTTGACCCATTGATTCGTGGTGTAATTAACATAGAGAATTTACAAACCGACGGGCTACAGAATATATACAACAGATTGTTGAATATTCTAAGCGTAGAGCTGAAGCAATTGTTGGATATCACATTACACCCAAATAGATCGTCTGTAACAGGTTTTAACTTCTTGGTCAACAGTTTTTGGGTCGACGTGGAGGAGAAAATCGAGCAGTATATAAAATGTATTTTCGCTCCCGGAGATCCCGTATTGTTCCACGCCAGGTACACAGCGACCTTGGAGTTCTTAGAGAAACTGGAAGCTGAGTGTGTCACGCTCGAATCGCTGACTGCGTTGAAAGAAAATTCACGGTACAAGAACTTCCTGAAGAAGTGGAATTTACCAGTGTATTTTCAAATCAGATTTCAAGAGATAGCTAATGGGATCGAAACGGTGTTGAGCGAACCGATATCGTCGACTTCTGTGAGAGGCACTCCGGAATCGCTCACGCGAAATGATTTTTCTCTTCACGCTACACTCGTCGTATGGGAAAATCTACAAAGAATTTGGGACAACAGTGTGTATCTGTGTCAGCTATTTCACAGGTAAGACAGCGTAAAATGGACGTAAGTAATAACGATCACATGCTGCGTTTCTCGTTTAGATTCTGGAAGTTCAGTCTCCAGATATGTGCCCGGTATCAGACGTGGAGTGAAACGGTGCTGGAAGAAGTTTGGCCTATAGAGAATGAAATGGGGAACCTGAGCAAAGTAGAGCACTCCACGAGGCTTAACTTTTTAATTTGTTTGTACAAAGATGCAGAAAAATTTGTGAACATACTTCCATCTCTGCTGGAGATAGCTCGATCGAAACTTAAATTGGAGACTCCGACGGTGTTGAAACTATTAGAAGGTACGCGACACCGACATTGTACTTCGAATATTATGTTCATTGTCACGTGCGTGTCTTCCCATAGATTCGCTCGGCGAAACGATCAAGAATTTGAAAACGATTTGGCCGAAGATCACGGAGGAAATCGTGAACGAACTGTTGAAACGGTGCGTGGCGCATTTGAAACAAGTCAGTGACATACCGAGATTGTTTAGACGAACAAAGAGGGACGTGCCAACGAAGCCGTGTCCTTACGTAAAGAATGCTCTCGCGTTTCTGATCAACTTCCATACCGATTACAAGAAAGTGATACCGGAAGATGTTGACGATTGGCTGAAACTGGCTCTCTCATCGTTGACTGAGCAGTAAGAACGAACAGAGAAAGAATGATTGTTACTGTAGTACTCATTTTAACACACTGCGGATGGATTTATCATGTTTTCTATACCAAAAACGAAACTACTCGTCCGCAACGTGTTAATTTGACTTTATTACATTTTCTAGTTATCTAGCTTCCGTGACGGACGTTCTAACTTCCGTGCAAAAGACTGAGGAGAGTTTGAGAAGATTGAAGAAGATACGCGATAAATCTACGGGATCTCTTTCGTCCGAAGTTCAAGGCATCAGCGACGATGAGAAGATAAGAATTCAGTTACAAGTCGATGTACAAGCGTATGCTAACACGGTGAGACTTATTGCCACGGGATTCGCCCCCTTTCACTAATTGCTATATGTCACGTCGTCTCGATCGTGAATTCTAGATTACGGAGATGGGAATTTCAACGTCCAGTGTTCTCCACGTCAATGAATTGTTGAACGCTGTTGCAGCGGCAGTGAAAAGGTAATACCCAAATGAATTAAAACAAGACCTCTCGTTTCACGTTACACGCCTGAACGCGTATAAGATGTACATATTTACATACAGCTGCAATAAAACAGTTATGTTACTTTCTCCGTTTATCTACGTTTTAAATAATTTCTAAAATATCAGACAACCGTTTGGATCACATACTGAACAAACGTTCAAATCACATCTACTTAACAGACGTCGAATATATTATTTACATATATTTATATTACAAATCTCGTACTTATGATCTAACCACTAGGTTTCGTTAAAGTACACGGAATTTTTTTTCATTGTAAGCTCTGTTCCCAAGAATCACTTTGTGGTAATTGAACTGTGGGTATCGTATCCTGATTAGGATACGTAGGATGCCACCAGTCTAGAATTAAGCAGTTAACAACTTCATTTAGTATCACTTGGTTCGTTAACGTATTAGGAATATCGGATGTTCCAAATCCAAGTTGCAAACGATGATCCTTAAAACCGGGCATCAAAGTCATCGATACTGATTGCAGAGTCAAACCGATTACGGGCGGTAACATGCTGTATTTTAAGCAAGTTACCTAGAAACAGCGCGATATTTTACTCATTTTACAGGCTCGGTTATAAACCGACGATTATCAACGATAGTATTCGGTGATAGAATAAGTACCATAAGTATTTTACAGTCCTCTTCCGGGTTCGCGGCTATATCTTCCAACATTTCGAGGAGGTTCTTCTTTTTGTTGTTCACTTTCGTTCTCTGCTTTAACGAATTGTTCGTATTCTTCTGGATCTCTTTCAGCTTGAAGTAGAAATACCATCTATCTTTCCCTATCTTCCCCTTCTGAAAGAAAATTGCCGATTCATCGTCGGAACGTTTTCGATCAACGAGACGGTTCACATACTCTGTGCCACATGAGACAGCATCGTCTTTTCACGAGGGAATGCGGTTCTTGATGTCTTAAGTAAGACATATCGTCGACCTTTCTCTTCAAAGGAAAATAACTGTAATGCATCGTCCTAATGACGCAGGCACGAAGTCCATAAGTGCGAACCATGCACTGGGGCTGTAGGCGTTCCGGTAGATTAGGGACAAACCTGTAGTACCTGTAATTAAATTCTATTTAACACGATCCTTCTGATCGTCCTTATTGAACCAGAAGAGAAGGCTTACGATTTGTATAAGTGGAACCAAAATTTTGCCGTCGTCGTTACATGATAAGCGCTTTTACATATCCGAGCAAACTTCCCTACAGCCTCTGGACAAATGTACTCTGATATAATGAACCATATGTCCAACGGATAATCTATACCTGAACAATACAAAAGTGTAATCCCCCGTCTTTGCTAAAATGCCAAGGATACCAATTTTATCACCTCCTAATGCTTTTACCTTCTTCCACTTCTTCTACAGCTCCTTCGGAGGAACTAACCTTTCTACTTCTTCTCCGGTTCGTTAACGCGCCTGTAAAATCAAATCCAGTATTATTCGTGAACGAAACGCACATGACTACCTGTAGTACCTCTCTTTGATCTGTTCGTATCATTATTTTGATAATCCTCGTCCATTTCACTCCACGAATCCGCTTGTTCCGTAGTAACCACTTCCTTCACTGAAAGAAATATCAGTAACGTACAGAAGAAGTGAATTCTTTTAATTGAATAGCAACGGCGTAACGCAAATTTGATAGAAATTTAAAATCTTAAAACCTTCGGAGGAAGCGTTTGTCACTGCCTTTTTCAATCTTGCGTGTGTTCGCGATGAATTCGCAAAGTCGTCGATGGTTACGTCTATCAAGAAAAATAGAACAAACAGTTAGTTCGCCGACAAGTTTATTTAAACCGTAATCGGTAAAAAATTAGCTTGTTTCGCCGATAAATATATATAATAATAATAGGAAACGGTAACCTCCGATCAAGTTGTCATTGCCATTCTCCGAAGTTACTTTTTTGTTAGATTTTTTCCTTAAATTAGGCATCGTGTTAAACGCTACGTTACGGAATAATCTAAAAATTAATCAGGTACCAGTTGTAATAGAATTAGACTTAAAATTTACAGCTATTTACACTAGTAATAAACGACATTATGAACACCCATCGTACTTCTTTAAACATGGACATGGACCATCCATGAATGAGAAAAGAATACGCTGCGTGATGGTGTTAGTGAAATTCTGCTTGTTTGTATTATCGTGTATTCGCGTTCTGTAAGCTGTAAAGCACGATAAACTGTGCCTAAAGTATCGCGTTTGAATCGTAGATATCTCGATCCTTTTAATTTCAATAGAGTGAAATTAATTGAACAGATCTTTCATTTATGAAACGCGAACTTTGAATGAGCGATCTCTTTGAAATTTTAGTACATCGTGTAGGTTACCGCCGACGCGTGTATCTTAGTTTGTAACATAAAACCGAACGATTCCCTAAGTTTAAAATGAGTCTACGCGTCGACGAGGAGAAACAGATCTTTAATTTTCTACGGCAACAACGTTGTTGCTTAAGATGCTGTTTCCGATTCATCGGTTGGCGTTCGGTTGATTGTTATCAGGATCCTGTTAAATTTGCAGAATCAGTAAGCCACGGATTTGTCACAATTTCGTGAGCTAGCATTTTGATTATGTCATTTTTCTATAGGCTGGATACATTGCAGAAGATGGTTCTGTCGAAAAGGATTGTTCGCCTTGTACGGCTTGTCTCGGAGTTCTTCAAAATGAAACGCAAGAACAGATCGTTGAAAGAGTATGTTGAACCATCTACCCCGAAGCACGTAGAGTTTCTCATGTATTTCACATGATTGTATTGTACGAACAGATTCGGGACGAAGTAGAGAAAGAGAATTACGATTGTGAAACGTTCACGTGTGCATTGACGATACCTGTGTGCATCAATCTGAGAGAACGTTTCTTGCACATGCGATGTGCCAGCCAGCTCGAGCTTTCACGAGACACGCTGGTCACTCTCAAAGTCAAGTTGCAGAGTGTTAAAGATATATGGAAATGGATGGTAACTTCGAAAATAGAAAAGTCTATTAAAAAGAAGTTTGATTCGACGACACCTTCTCCATTTCTCATTGAAATTATTTTAATATACAGATACAATGAAAAAGACTGCGAGGCGTTGTAAGTTTCCAAGTTTATCCTATCTGTGGAATTGATTTTAAAGTCAAGAGATATATTACGTTCCAGCTTGAATGTGTGCAAAGTCACGAACGGCGTGGGAAACAAACGGAAGAGAAAGTGTAACGATAATAGATTTAGTAGAAAAAGTATGGACGCACTCATGACCAAAGTGACTGACAACGAGTTTTCCGAGTGCTTTGCAAGTTCCTCGTTTGAAACGGTGGAGAATGTTAAAGTTGACAATATCATCTATTCACATTCGAGCATCTTTATAGGAGGTAACACGCCGAACTACAGATCATAATTCTAATATCGATCGTTACGTGTTGCGTGATCATTTTAGGTAGGTATAACAAATTATCGAGGGAACTTAGTCAGACACCATGGTTTATAAACGGTGAGAAGAAGATGCAGACATCGGTCCAAGATATACTGTGCAATCCTATCGCCGAAGCGGTTAAAGCTGAATGTAAGCCGATCGAGTATTCGATACAGTCTCGTTTCAAATACAATTTCACGTTCGATCCTGTGTACAGCTATCAAATTCTCGTCGTCCGGGAGAGAAGACGTGGACGTGAGGAATATATATGCAGGGCGTCCGTTCGCGGTCGAATTGATCAATCCCCGAATCAGCAAAATAACGGAGAAGTCGCTGTCGGACTTGGTCGTAGAGATCAATCGATCATCGCGACAGGTGCAGATCACGTCGAGTTTGAAGGTCTTGTCCAAGTTGGACTTGAAGAAATTGAAGGAAGGTGAGAACGTTAAGACAAAATTCTACCGAGCGCTTTGCGTTTGTCGCGACACGTCTAGAGACGCGGTGTCGCTCGAAGAATTGAATAGTACGAAGAGACTGAAGATCGTTCAAAAGACACCGATCAGAGTGTTGCACAGGCGGCCTTTGAGTCCCAGGGAACGTGTGATATACGAGATGAGAGCTCGTTGGACGAGGCCCGATGAGTTAAAAACGCTGAGTATCGCGGATGGGGATACCAGTGTATTTTTTGTGTTAGACGTTAAAACGCAAGCTGGAACGTATATTAAGGAGTTTGTGCACGGAGATTTTGGACGGACTAAGCCGAGTTTGTGCGACATTCTGAAAGCTGACGTCGACATAATCGCGTTGGACGTTACTGGGATTAATTTAAACTGGCCATGAGAATTATTTCATGTTCAACGCATTCATTTTTTTATGGATATAAAAAGATCGTATAATAAAGAAGTGTATATATTTTAAATTACTTTCTATTTTCAACGTCCATCTTTATGCTCCTGTATCCAGAAATGTCTCTTTACAGCAGCCATTGAAATCCTTTCCGTGCTTTTCCGTTTAATTAACTGCAATCAATATGAAATAATTATTTATGGAAGATGCAAGTTGTAGCAGAATTCAGGTAATCATATTACCCTTGATATCAGATCCTTAGCTCCAGGCGTGATCACTTCTGGCCATTGTATGTTCAACGCTTTTATTTTTGTATAAGTTTCTTGTTGCGAATCGCTGAGGAACGGTGGATTACCGACGAGGAATTCGTAACAAAGAATACCTAAGCACCAATGATCGACGTATATATCGTACGTTTGTCCCGTCACCATTTCCGGAGGTAGGTAATCTAATGTTCCGCATAACGTGTTTCTCCTGCAATCGTTCATGGTTCCAAGTAGATTCAATCAAGTCGACGAAATTTCTAAATCGAACTTACTTAGACGATGGTGCATGAACGGACCATCCGAAGTCTGCTAATTTAACGTTACCCTCGTACGTGAGCAACAGATTTTCTGGTTTTATATCCCTATGGATTACATTATTTTTATGACAATATTCTAAAGCATCTGCTACCTGATACGTATATTTAGCAGATCTGAAACGCAGAGATCGTCGATGAGAGACATGAGAGTTCCATCGAATTAGAAAATATGATTTTAATACTACGTACAAATGCTCATTGAATCTACCACCGGGTTGACGCTTCAACTCTTTGTATAATTCCCCTCTGGCTGCGAACTCTAATACGAGATAGATCCGCTTGTGATCGTGAAAGTACGTCAACATTTGAAGAATATGAGGATGCCTATGAAATACGAAATGCTGTGTAAACGTTTCTCTAAACGAAAGGCAAAATTGAAAATACCTTAGATGTGTCTGTATTTCAATTTCACGCATCACTTGCTTCTCCACTCGCCCTTTTATTATTTCCATTTTATATAACGTTTTCAATGCGACCATGAAGTTGGTGCTTTTTTCTCTAGCCAAATAAACGCGGCCAAATTTACCTCTGCCCAGAGGTGCACCAATCTCGAAGTCGTCTAAACTCCATTTATATCTATGAAACAGTATTTTCTTCTTACAGTGGAATTACGAGCACGATGAACGTAAAGAAACGGTAAGTGTCATACCTGGAACCTGTAGCTTCAACGTGATCTTCCATTCTACATAGAGTATCCATGACTGCTTCCTTATACTCGGTCGGAATGTTCGGAGGAAGTTTAAACTCTCCCATGTGAGCCATAATTGCTGATCTAAAGAGAAATTCTGAATATTTGTTCAAACATAAAATTCTCCTCGTCTCTGAAATTATCGAACTTGCATTGTTACTGTACCTTATTGTTTAAAATATTCTGAATAATATCAAAGTCTTCTGCGTCAAATTTTATAAATGCACGCTCTCTTACCAAACGATTAATCCCTCGTTCGCTCAAATAAAACTATTCTAAAACTTCGGCTCGTTCTTCTAACTGACACTTTTAACTACTTTTGATTCAAACAGAGGCGAACAATGAAGAACTGGTACATATACATACCTCAAATGAATTTGGATTTGTGCTCGTGGCGCCATCTAGCGTAAATGGCTGCAAATATATACTTCGTATTAGGAGAACACCGAGGTAGCACAATCTTCGGGTGGTGACGCCACCAGCAACCCCAAAATCATTTTAACCTACGTTTTAAAATGTTAATTAACCTAATAATTGATTAAATAATAAGTAAATGATACAATGAACGAATAATGTTTATTATTTTTAGAATTTACACCGTCCTCTGCTTTCAATTGCTTTCAATGCTTTATCATCAACTTAAAAAAAACTGATTGATTAGTTGGAACATTTTACCGTCGGTGTCGGTAAAGTTCTGCCATGGTTTGTCAGTAAAATAATGCAACGAATTTGTTGACATTTATATGTAGTAACAGAACAATCAGTATACATATACTTGTAAAGCATGCTGTGTTACAGTAACACCAGTTTATCTTTCAAGATTTAGACGATCCGAATTTCTTTCATACTGTAAGCAGGAATCTCCTAACCTATTACCTAGTACCGTAGTAGTTTGAAACAACAGAAACGTGCACTGAGGAAGAGAAATATTCGTCAGAATGACTTCCATCGTCGCAAGAACACTTTCAGCCAAACGTAAATATTTCATTCGTACTTGTCGTTTATGTTTCATGAACTTTTTTAAATACATTGTTTATCTATTTTATCGTAGTATGGAGGGATCGAAGTATTCTACGACCATTACTTACGTTCAGCCACAATCAGAAATTATCCACGAAAAGCGAAGTGGAACCGGCGATTGCAAATGGTGAAAACATTTCATTGATTAATAAACGTTACATTCTTCTATCGGTTTATCAAGAGCTAATGAATTCTCAATTTCATCAGCAGCTAATCTAGAAGACATAGACCCACTGTCTCACCCAGACTACTTTCACGTTTATGACATGTTCACTGTGAAAGATCTGTTCGATGCCAGAGTACATTTCGGTCACAAGGAAGGCTCGATGCACATTAACATGACACCCTTCATATTTGGATCCAGACTGGGTCACTTGATATTTGATTTAGACCAAACTGCCGAGTTCTTACGACAGGCTTTAAATTTCACTGCTCACATAGCTTCTAGAGGTGGAATAATATTGTTCGTAGCAAAGAATCCACAGACTTCGTATCTCGTGGAAACTACCGCGAAAGATTGCCAAGAATACGCGCATACCAGACATTGGAAGCCAGGTACGTTGGCAAACGCTACTCAGCACTATGGTGCAGTTACCAGGCTACCAGACTTGTGCATATTTATCAATACCATGGAATCCGTGGTTCGACAACACGTGGGCGTGACACACGCGGCTAAGATGTCGATCCCGACCGTTGGCATCGTAGACACGAACTGCAACCCGAATCTTATAACGTATCCTGTACCTGGGAACGACGACACGCCTTGTGCCGTAGAACTTTATTGTAAACTATTCAAGGAAGCGATAATGAGAGGAAAGAACTACAGGAATCAACAGCTTGCGAAAGAAAACGCCTAATGCAATTTGTAGTAGAGTATCATCAAGTGAAACAAGAGAACATTCATTTTATTAACTTGGATACCGTGCATGATAAAATTAGAAACTTATTACGAATGGCGTGACACGAACTGTTTCATGGGAATCTCGACGCATTCATCGCTCGTCTTTGAGGGTCTCTTTATCGTCTCGCAAACGTTGAAGAAATCTTGATCCCACTCGCCGGAGAAGCCTGAAACACACGATCGTTTAGTAAAATACGTTTAAACAGACATACTTCGACGTACCAGCTACCAATGTTTGGATAATAAATTCTTGTGTACACGAACTGAAGCACAACTGGTTTGGCAATCCACACTTCGGAGAGTTGGTTCGCGATCGCGATTCCCATCAGTGTACCGCAACGCTGGGCGCTGACTTTGTTCTTCGAATTTTCATTCGTGTGTTCCCCATATTTCTGAAGTTAATAAGGACATATAAAAGGCTTGAAACGTTCTCCGTAACTTTTAACTCACTTCGCCCGATTTATTTGTGTATGCCTCTGCGAGGAAATCCGTCTGTATCGATCCCGGGCACACGATCGTAACAGGTATACGATTATCTATTTTCTCGGCAGCGAAACTGTAGAAGTAACCCTGTGTACATAAATGAAGAAATAAATGGGTAAATCTTCCATAGCTGTTTGTAAAATATGAATTTGAAAGCAACGTCGCTCACGTTCAACGCGAATTTGGATCCAGAGTATGTGCCTGAAAATGGAACCGGTGCGATACCAGCCAAACTCGATGTGATCACAAAGTGTCCGGCTCCCATTTGGAGAAAATATTTCGCTACCAGTCTGCTCAAAGCTACTTGAGAAAATACGTTCAAGTGGAACATTTCCTTGTCCACGGACAGCTCTATGTCTTCCCACCTCGCTCGTTGAGAGCGGCCCGCGTTATTTACCAGTATGTCTAACTGTAATTAATTTCCAACAGAGTCAACGTTGAATTCCGTAAAAGAGAATTGAACGTTTACCTTGCCGAATTTGGAAATTATACTTCTAAACGCCGGCTCGTGACTGTCCGTGTCGCAAACATCCAGAACCAGAACTTCAATGTCTGAACTCTTTAAACTCGCGTTTTCTGAAACAAAAGACGTACTACACCGTGCATCGTTTCATTGTCTCACAGCTCCCCGACAATGGATCGAAAGGGCGATCGAAACGTTAGAAGTAGAAGTTTGCTTTAGGATCGGATTTACGATTACTTTGCAAGCATTCAGCTTTGACTCGTTCCAACAGTTGCCCTCTTCGTGCGGACAAAATTAATTTGCAGCCAGCACCGGCTAGGGCGTAGGCAAGGTGTTCTCCGATACCGCTGGACGCCCCTGTTATCCATACCACTTTGTCTTTCAAAGAACCTGCCACGACGAACGTTCAAAACTCGGTTAAAAGCCATCGTCATCGTACGATATCCCTGACACTGTCAATAAAAGCTACTTACCGATGGGTTTCCCAAATTTCTCGTGGAACGCGAGATTTAAATCGCAGTCTAAGAACCAGGGCCAAATCGTGTAAACGAGGTAATAGATGACTACGATTAAACCGATGATAGCTAAGAGATCCATTTGTAATAATTTATGTTGGAAAATATGAACTTTACTCTTGGTCCTAATCCATGCGTACGTATCGGCACGCATACATTAAGTACGTGTCACGTGTTGATTTCATATTTTTTCGAATAACCCGAGAGAGGGAAGAAGGCTAGGACGTCCAAATACATTACCCATTTTAGGTCAAATGTTTATCGGGATCAGGTAAAACCAGTGTAAGAGAGGAGAACGGGTGATAAGATAAGAGAGACGAAAGATCGTTTGCGTGTGCACGCATAAGTTCATTACTTACGTGTGCGAAATATCGTTTTTATATTTCTTGTAGAAATATATTTACATGTCTTGTCTTATGGCGCTGTAAGTCTTCGCGCGAAGACACGCAAAGATGAACAGTTGCATTGAGCTCATTGAGTTTAGTACACATCCGCGGGAACCGGCTCGAGAGAGATTAACCTCGATGTTAACGATGTTAACAATGGTTTTTAATGGAAAGATGCAAATATATTATTTAGGCGACTGAGAGAGAGGAAACGAATGCAGGTTCCACATAAATATGTATCTATTATGTACAGATTTCAGACACTGTTCGTCCAATGACGAAATTCCATAACGAAACACTTGCTCAATAGCCAGCGCGCGAAACGGAAATCAGATATTCCATATTTTAAAGTAAACTTCAAATTGATTTTTATTAACAAGATTACGTACAATTGGATAATTAATTACGTCTACAATGGCCTCTTTAGTTCTTCAAAGTACATATGCTCCTGAAAGCGCAACGAGAAAATGTTACATTTATGACTGCAATTTTTGAACATCGTGCAACAAAGCTTGTAATATTTACCAGAAGAAACGCCGCTCCAAGGAGCAGGCTCTTGAACTTGATATCCGTGTTCGCCGGGAACGTTATCAACAAATTGTAATCGTGGAGAACGTTGTCCCATTGGTGCATGAGCGACGCAATTTGGTGAGTACCGTCGATCGAAATCACCTAACGATATTTTTATGAATCAATCTACGTTTCTAATTTCTAAAACGAATACTGTACTTGGAATTGCGCTTCCTGATACATGCAGCAGCCGCAAACGTTCGGTCCATAAATATTGGAAAGCGGTCTTCGGGCCTCGTCGTAGACCGTGAAGCTCGAGCCCATTATGCAGAAATTCTCCTCCACCGAACCCAGCATCTTCGAACTACCCACTATCATCGTCTAAACGATAAATCGGTGATTGACCGCCGCACGATCGATAATAATTTCGCAGCTAAGGGGTTTCGCTCACGTGTAATTTATTTAAAGCGATAGTCCGTCTGCTGTTCATTCTCATGACGAACGCGGTTTCACCGCACTGGTCCAAGATGTTCAACGTGATATCGTCTCGGAGCAATCTCGAACAACTCCAGTCGGCCGGTTTATCCGATCTCGCGTGCATCGCGAGGAACAGCGTTTCGGCTCTTGGGATTTTTACTCTGTACTGGAATTTCTTTTCCGATCTGCCGAGCACTGATGATCAAGCAGGGTACAGACAATTTTAAAACAGAAAATAAGCAGTCGATCAACGTTCGACTTCAAGGATGTATTGGCTATACAGTCAATCCCAAAAGTTTATGCACTTTAGAAACGCATTTTTTAAAAACAAAATAACACTTCGGAGGAATATTGCTAATAATAAACAACAAAAAAAAATTTTCGATTTTTCCGAGATTTTTCCAAGGGATACCCCTTCAGATTTCGCGAAATTTTCGTTTTTTGCCAATAACTTCCAAACCGTTGAACTTACGGAAAAATTGCATCAGACCTTTCTTGTAGAGGACGATGAGATCTACAATTTCCATGTAAAATTTTTTCGCTAGCGTTAATAGTTTACGAGTTATTTGCAAAAAACTGTTTTTTCGTTTTTCGTTAACAACTCGTAAACTATTAATGCTAGCGACAAACTTTTATACGGAAATTGTAGATCTCGTCGTCCTCTACAAGAAAGGTCCTATGCAATTTTCCCGTATCTCCAAGGGTTTAGGAGTTATCGAGGAAAAACGAAATTTTTTCCAAAAGTTCGCCGTTTCGACGCTGGGATGGTCGGATTTTGTCAACATCAATAAAATGCCATATAATCATATGTAACTCATTAAATATCGAAATTAGAAGAAAAGTGCACTATTTTTAATTATAGGAAATGCGTTTTGCTAAGGCACATAAACTTTTGGGATTCACTGTATAGCCAATACATTCTTAAGCGATACCAATTTCTCTTTTCATCTATGCTTTACGTTGAAATAAATTTTATTTACTCAATTGGACAACGAACATGTACTCAGATCGACGATCTGCTGTATCTCCAGTTGCTCCACGTTGCCCAGGAAGTGGCTTCCCGAGAGTGCACTCAACTGCGATCTCGGGGTTGACACCCAGTCCAACGTGTTTACCGGAATCGGCCTCCTCGCTTGCGAAACGTCCCCTGATCGATAACGAAACCGTCAAAGATAAAGCCCGTTTCTCATTGTTTGTCAATTTTACTGTTTAAGCCGATCGATTTTTGATCTTGTCCATCTACCTCGCGGCTGTGCCGTGATGACCGTCAGCCTTGAAAGAACCGGGGTTGGATCGGTCACCGAATTCTCTTGCATTTCTACGGTCTGCACGCTCGTCTCGGCGAATTCTGCGCGTATAAAATGCTTCGCTTAAATTCTCTATTACACGCTCCTTGATTTCGTCGTCATTGACGGACTACTCAGACGAAAACGATTGAATTCCAGGTAATTGTTATCGCATTAGAAAAAATTCGAAGAAGCGAAACGATATGAGAGAGGAAGCGTTTAATGAGAAAGACGAGTAGCAAGAATGCAATTACCAGATGGTGATCCAAACGTAGCACGATTCAGAGCGGCGGGTTCCATCGCCTGGCGCAGGACAACGAAGGTTCATCAAGGGGGAAGCGCGTGTCTCATCCACGTAGCATCACGATTTGCAACGTACGTGTTATTTTTTTATTCTTTACACGGGATACCTTGTCGGATTAATTAATTTTAATGAGCGTCAACCGGCAGAGGGGATTAACGCCGATCGATCGTGAATATTATGAACGACGCGACGCACGGCTTACATTTGCTGTTTTACTAAATATTATTCTAACCGCTGTTCCTCGTTTAAGGGCTTAAGAATTCGGCGTTGTCCAATGGTTTCCTCGAATGGTCCAGCCAGATGTTCCTCGGATCATCCTTGTCCTCTTGTCATCCTTGGGACCTCTTTCGGATACTGCTCACGCACAATCGCTCGTTGAACCATCGACCACTTTTCTGTTCGTTATCAGTGATAACCGGTCGCTATCGCGACGCTGGATAAGCAGTATCGTGGTTTCGTACGCTCTTTCTTTTTATGTTAAACATAATGAATTTAACCGGGGCCCGTGTTTCGGTAATATGAACGGCGCTTAGGCGTAGGGAACGACGAAGGCCCGTTGCACTGTTATTCACGCGGTTATTAACAGGAAAAGACGGCCTGCGAAACTGATAGACGAAACAATGCCGGCTGTTGAGTCTACGTGTATCAGGGACGCGTCTAAAGTCGAGACAATGGGACTGATTAAAATTTACCGTAACTCGCTCTGGGAACGAATAGAGCGGCTGCTCGGATACTAGAACGTATCTATCATTTCCTTTCTCGTTCGTTCAATCTTTACGGGCGGCTGGTTATTTAAAATGTCTAAGTGCGATCGGTTTTAATTCAGCGGATTCTCGAGGACGACCCCGCTGGTCACGTGCATAGGGGTGGTGGACGCATTCCTCCAAACGGAATTCACGCGTTGCTCGATAAATGCAGAAGGTGACGGGATCATGCGATGAAACGCAGATGTCTTCGAGAGACGTCCTGTCCCTCTCTTGCCAAGAGACATTGCTGCCCTAAAAAGATGACCGCGACAGTCGTTTCAAACGCCGAATGTAATCGCTGCCTCTATTCTTCTAATTCTGCGTAACGAGCTTTTTTATTTAAAAATTCTATCGTGCATAATTCAATTCAGCAATCCTGGGAAATTGTTTTCATCGTAAACTGGATCCTAATACGAGCATCGTCCCCAAGGACTCGTCCCGTATTTTCGACGACCGGTCGTTTAATTACTCGGATTGGCAGGCATTGGCTCGCCGTTGCCCTGACGCCTGTCTATAATTTTCCGGTCGGTGTATCTTCGCAGGCACACCCCGCACGGCTTTACTTGTTGCTGGTGCACGGTGGTTCCATGCGCGGTTCTATCGATCCCGGTGTCCCGTATATAAAGGACCGCGTCATCACCGGTCATGGAAGAACGGACCGGGCAATACTCCATGACACCGTTGTGAAGGAGAGCCAAGTGGATCGACGGTGAAAATAAACACGAAAATATTACGCTGCCTCGTGTCGCGCGAATGATTAATTAAAAACGCAAGTAAGTCATTCACCGTGATATATCTCCCGGTCTGTCATTCATTTTATAATCGTGTCGAGCTTTGTCCTTAAAAAAATTCCACCTTTCGTCGCGTCTTCCTATCAAGGTCAATTTCTGTAAAAATTCTGTGTAAACGCCTACAGAAAACGTCTGAAGAAATCAATGTCTCTGGAAAACTCCAAGTTCACACGTTCGCGTCCGTATAAATTAGATCATCGACGAGCGTCAGGTATTTTCATGATATCTTTCGTGTAAAATCAAAGTAATTACATGAGCGAATCGTCTTGAAATTTGATCGTAAAGATTTCTGCTCGGTTGTTGGAGTTTAACATCACCATCTGTTAGAGCGAACGCAAGGACTCCGACCGTACCATTCACGTTCACAGTCCAGAACGAACGATTCCGTTCTATTGTAGAAATATGCCTCATTGACGATAGCTTTCCGGAATTCCACCGATTTCTTAAGCCTGATAATCTTTTATATTTGCACGAGAATTTATCTTCCCGTCGATTGGATTCGTTTCTCGACGCTTCTACGATAGCGGATGATAAGCATTTATTGTAATAAAGAATTCATAGGGGTGCGTGGGAGCTACTCGCGGTGCGAGGGTCAATGTTGATGGTATTTCGTGACGGTGCTGCATAGTTGGCCTTACGCGTGGAATGCATTACGCTTATCGATCTGAAGTGGTACTGGACCGAAGAGAAAAACAATTCTATTCGGAGTAATCATTTCTTTATTTCGAAACTTAAACGTGTTGAACGTGTTACATGTGTACGTATCAGAAACAGAAAAGAATACGTAATTTTCTATGTAGAACGTCGATAAACCTCATTTTTAATATTGAGAAAATTAACGAGAGATTAAATTAGGGACATTCTCGTTCCGTCGAGACGCAGTAAGTCGGCGATCGAGAGTGTTATCACCGTTGATCGATCGGGGCTGAGGAATCCCTGTTGCATCATCAAGCCAGCTTTCACTACTACGTTTTCGTTTAAGGGTCTTCGTTGGCCTTTTCAGCAACGAGAATCGATAGCGAATTAAAGCTGATTAAAACGGAACTACTAACACGGTTTCCCACTTGGTGTATACGATCATCGTCGATGCCCTTAATCCTGACCACAACCGTTACCCCTCCAGTTACATTATTCTTATTACATTATTCTGATTCATTCTAATTCGTCGTTTAAAATTCCGGGGCTCTGTTAGTATAAAACTTTTCCGTCGCTAGATTTATGCATTTGTAAAGACATCGTATCTGCAAAAAATATAAACCGTGCAACATCCAAAGACACGGAGGACAGCAGAAGTATTATTAATTTTTACAGATAAAACGATCATTGATTAAAATTTATTAAAATCAATTAATCCTCTTAGAGAAAGAAGAAAAATGTTGCTTCCAACATGGGTGATGCCATGTTTAACGATGGGGTTGGCGATGGCGCTGGCCCAGGTTCCCCGTCAATCGATGGAGGAATCCCTGAGAAGCGCCCTGGACGCGATCAGCAGGAAACAACGATCGTTGGACGGTAATTCGCAGGATTACTACAACGATCTTCGCGGATTCAAATACCACGGTGACGACGGGGAGAGAAAGTTCGACAGAGAACGGCAGGCCGAGAGAGAACTGGACGACGAAGAAGAGGACATTGAATTCCTCCCGAGTGGTAAGGAGAAAATTCGAGAAAATTCGAGAAAATTCGAAAAAAGGATGAAGCTGTCGATCTCAAAGGAAACGTAGAGACCACTCAAGCTGCTCTAATTCTGTTTAGAAGTCGGCCAGCTGGAGACCGTCGGTAACGGATATCAGGATCTGAATAATAAACTGTTGAAGAGAGCTTTGATCGCTTATTTGAAGAGCATCCCGCAACAGGTGAACTTCTCTTACTTAGCGCGAACTTTGACAGTCACTGTGTATAACATTGTGAAGAGCGTGAAGTTTATTGTCGAATGATATTCAGGATGAACCGGTTACGTCACTGTTTCGGGAACGGGAGCGTACCTCCAACCGTAAAAGGGACTCGGAGTCTGAACGGCTAAATTTGGACAATAAAGAACTGGCGAAACTGTACATGTTCATAAAAGAACTACAGAACGATTCCCCTTATGCCATCGAAGACGGTGAAGAGGAGCGGTATCTAGATCCTCGTCAAATCATCTACGACCCGTACAGAGATGATCGGGGCAACAAATTGACCGATCAGTCAGTAGACAAATCGTTTCACGATTCCCCTGCGTTTTTAAAATTCATTTCACGAGACGCTATTCCACCGATAGGACTGCGGGGCCGATGTCCTGGGGCGAGTCGATGGTCCGCGGCGGACAGGGCAGGGAGGTCGACGAGAACGACTACGGCGACCGGGAACAGGATCCGAACTTGCTGTACGTGCCCATGGGCGAACCACGGAACGTGAACGGCGGATACTCCGTGGGACGAACCCAGAGGACCTACGGGAGCATGGCTAAACGTTATCCCATAGCCAAGAGAAGCCCGAAACCGATGCCCACCAAAAAACAAGTCACTGATCCCAAGGTAAAATCCTTTTCATCGAAAAGAGATCTTGTTGAACGAAATAAAATTTGACCTACGAGCAGCAATAACTTTCACTCGTTTTAATGATTTTCGTTTTCGATTTCAAAACTTAAAGGTTGTTCGAGATCTGGGAGTACTGTTCGGCGCTCAAACAACGAACACTCCGAATCGTACTCATAGCCATGATCACGATCACGGTCACAGCCATGACCATGTTCACGACCACGACCATGACCACGATCACGATCACGATCACGACCACGATCACGACCACGATCACAGCCACGACAACGAGCAAGGGGATCAGCACAAACACGAGAGTTCCACGGAGACACCTGACTCTGTAACGTCGTCGTCCAAGGGACAAAAAGAGAATACCGGGAAATCGGTTAAATCGAAATCTATCGAGGTGAGGAAGAAGAGTGTCGACTGGTCACAGTATTTTGGCATCGATCGAAGAAGAAAGAAGGCCATGTTTACAGCCGGCCAAGGATCCCAGAATCAAGACGACAATTGGATGTTACAACGATATTACGAGGTACACTGTCATGAATCTTACCTCGTCTACGTAAATTGTTTGCTCCGTCAAATAGATCGGGGATTTTCGTTGTGGTTTCGGGGTATTGCGTAACGTCGCAAGATTCTCTTGAATTCTTTTATGACAGAACACGGTAGAGAACTTGAAGGACCGGGATCACGAGAATGAGAGGCAGGACAGGCTCGGCCAGTCGAATACCAGGCCAAAAACCGTGAAGGACTTGATACTCGAGGAGAGTTTGAGATACGCGGACTCCGAGGACGCAGATTTACAGAAGGTCGTGTACAAATATATTTGATCCACTGATCCGATATCCGATGTATTTCGTGTAATATCTAACGCCTGATACACGCGACAGATAAAGGATAAACTGATGGCCCGTTTGGCTGCCGCGTATTCCTACGAGAAAATGAGGAAAGCCTTGAACGAGCTCCGAAACAGCGTCGCGGCTAGAACGGAAGGTCAGAAGATGGCCCACGCACAGAGCAACCAAACGTCCAACTTCCGCGAGAACAATAATCTTAAAAATTCAAAGGACAAGCGCGTGAACGGCAACAGCTTTCAATTAATCGAGAACGAAAGTACGACAAAAATTTTAATCCAATTGTTTTTTACGCATTTACTGACCGTGCATTTTTTCACACAAAATTTATCGAGCAGATTCGGAGGAGAACAGAGCCTGTCCCGAGTTAGAGATGATCGAGAAGGGATGCAGAAGGACCGGGAAAATAGCTGGAGATGAATCGGAGGTGTTTTACCTTCCTTGCGTCATGCTTCAAATTTGCAAGGCCTGCGTACGTATCCCCAGAATGACGCGGTACAATTTTCACAATTTTCACGAGGGACACTGTATGATCGATACACTTGTATGATCGATTTCAGGTACAAGACGAGTTGGAGCAGGAGTGTTTAGGTAATTATGCGGTGGAAGCGAGAAGGGTGTGCGATGCGCAAGAGACGATGGAAGGTGCGAAGGGTAGAGAAGCTTGCGTTAGCACGGCGATGATCATCTCTCAGTTGGAAGTCCCGCCTATGATCTCCGAGCAATGTCGCATCGATGGGAACGATTCCTGTCTGCGTTACCAGCTGTACCGCTACTGGCATCATTACCTTCGCTATCCTTACAGCGGTCGAAGGCCCAGCAATTACGACGCGATCGATCCCCAACAGTCGGATCGATAAAGAGCGAACGATTAAATCGTCAACGACGGTTCGGAGACCCTCTATTAAGAAACTCTCGAAAGCTCTCTAACCGCAGACCTCGAAACGAGCTTCATTTCCATAGTCAATCTTTCAGTCTACGATTCGTTTAATTTGCGAGACGGCGCGGAGAGGTCTGATTTTCTTGCAAGCCAAGATCTAACGAGGAACCCGAGGAAGTTAGATTAATTCGATGTGTAACGTTGCGTTTATAAACACGATAGAACTCGTCACGCTGTTATTTTCGTTCGAATCGAAACGGAGGAAAAAGGATCGAGCAACGATCAAACGGTATCGTTTCACGCGCGACAGTTTTGGTATAAGAAACAAACCCCAATAACGGTGAGAAATGTATGGTCGGATTATACAGGCGAGGGGAATGTCGTTCCATTTGCGAGCATGTCTTCTTTTCTCGGGACATCGAACGATCGATCACGAGGGACAATAATTGTCGACTGAAATTCTGTCATACGTTCGTTCTGAAGAAAACAATTTTTTCTCTCCTTCCCGAAGAATAGAAAAAATGGAACAAATACTCGAAGGAAATTGCAATAATCATTTCGTCGTGATGATGTTTTCAAGGAAGCTTTTCGGACGAGCGCCTCGCAAACGAATCAATTGTGTGTACAATAAATTTCTATCGAGGGTACATCATTGAGGTACACCGAGCATACTTTCCGTTCGATATTTTCGGAGTAAATATTACTTGCAGCAATATGCAGAACATGGCTCGCGTATTCGCCGATAACTAAGTACCGCGCATATGCATGTTTCGTTCAGCTACGTCCAATTGTTTTCGAACTTACTTCCAAATGGTGCTGTTACGTAGTAATCTTCGCGATAGAGTAATTTATTTATCTATTCATCAGCCGCATCGTGAAACCAGATTTGAGACGTCGTAACACGTACGTGTAACGATATTTAAACAGGATATCTACGAAGGCTCGGGGGAATGGAAGAGACGCGGTAATAATTCTATTTGAATACGAATTTCGTCTCTCGGACGGCAGAACCGTACACTTATTGTCTGTGTTTGTGTTATCAGAACCGTGAAATAAATTCTATGTGTCAATCCTATATAATTCAAACGTAATAAATATATTTCAACATACTACTTACTTACGTCGTCCGTTCAGCTGATTAGAACTGACAGTTGCTGACAGTATAGAGATCATTCGCGCCATCCGTTGTTCGCGTCTCTTGTCCCGTTCGTTTCAGCGATTCGAATATTTTGAGAGATTCCGGTGTGTACAACTTGATGAATTCCATTTGTAAATCGGCGTAAACAGCTAAAACCGATGTAAGTACGTCTTACAGAAACCGATTTTCACTTCGAGCGAGATAAACACAACGACGTACCTCTCATCTTTTCGATAGTTTTCAACTGCTTTTTCAATTTTAAATTCCACTCGCTTATTTCAATAAGGATATCATTCTCAGTTTCAGTGGACATCGTATCCACAAAAAATGATTTCTAACGGACGATCCTCTATTTTATAACTGATCACTTCCCGCTCCGGAATGTATACGTTCATTCATAATTTTTTATTCAACTGTACACATGAAACTGGTACAGTATTGTATCCGTGTTCTGATTGGGAGAACGTGCTCGTCGCGAGCTGCGGTGACCAATAGGAAACATGGACCGTGACGACGATGGAACACAACTTCATTGAGGAGAAAGGTCTAAACGATCCAAGCTTTTACAATAAACAATTATATTCATAAATTAATTGTTGACGTTAACGAAGCAATTGAAATTTTAAAAAATCCTCTACTAATTCTTACACTATAATCTGTCCACGCGATATCAATGGGCGACTGTAGGCAGTTCGTTTATTTGCCGCCTCAGCGCTCTCGTCGCGCGTCTCATTTACCTAGCCGCGAACCCCTGCAGGTCTACAATTAGATAATCTATGATTATTAAAGGTGGCGATGGCGACGTCGTTTCGCGATCTGTGTTTCTTTGTCGTCCAAAAGTGGATTTCGTTCAGTCTTTTCTGTGGGAAGCCGATTTATTAGCGAAACTCCCAGCGCGTCTGACGATAATATACGTGCAAAGGATACGAACGCGTAATACGAGGAGTCAGGGAACGCGTGAAAGCCGTGGCTAGGACAAATACATGGAACTCCCGCTTCCGAGGGCCGGCGAACATATTTATCTTCGGCGGCCAACGTGATTTTCTTGAGAGAGGGCCAACGATATCCCGTTCAAGCGAACACGCCAAGCTGTATGCGATCGATCGTGGTAAGTTTCATCGTTCTTCTTGGAAGATACCCGACAAATTCACGCGTTCGCGCGACGTTCCCGCCGTAACCTACCGCTCTTGTTGTAAACACCGTATCGCTATACAGGGTGTCCTTGAATTTCGCTTCGACTTTTTTCTATACATTTTATCGCGAGTTTTACGAGCAGACTCTTAATGCCACTCATTCAGTTCGATTATTTTCTGATTCGTGTGAGGAAATGTATATTTATAAACATCTGATTTTGTTTCAGCGGTGTAGGAAAATAAACGCCGAGGACGATGTCAGAAACGGAAAAGATGGACAGTTACGTGATGGAGAGCCAAGATTCGTGCAATGAAAGTCTGGTTGGAAACGCTACTTTCAGAAGCACAGAGACAAACAGCTTGAGCGAGAGCCAGGATTTTCATCTGGTAGACATGAGCGACGACGAATCGACAACTAAATTCCAACAGGATTTAGAGGAGTCGAAACAAGGAGAAACATCTCTGCCTGTTCCTGAAAATCGAGTGGAGACAGGGTTTGATGAATTGAGCATAACAGAGAGCAAGACCAGTTCCGATACGCAAGGTGACAATCGAACGGAGAAGGAGTCAATGGAGGAAACGGTAATGGAAGAAGGAGGCGAAGGAGAAACAGCTAATGACAATAGCAGTGTAGAAAACAAACAGGAAGAACTGAACGACAGCGAGGAGATAATACAAGGCACTCCGCCTGAAGTTCAGTCGCCAATGAGAAACCAAGGTGCTAGCATCGTGATAAAAAGCTTGAAACGTAAAGCGGAATCGTTTGACGAACCGCTTAAGAAGATTCTAAGGACGAATTCGAAGGAGGACGTGTCGTCGGCCGGGAAAGGAGAACTGGGCGACGAGGAAGCTTGTCGATCGTTCAAAGTGGACGATGATACCCAAGAATTCTCGAAAAATTATTCGGACGCGCAATCGATGATAATCGCGGAGACGCAGGACGTCGATGAGGACCAGGAGGACGGAGCTTCGACGCAGAAGCTGACGAGATACGAGGAGAACAGCCGGAACGCTGATCCTCAAATGGTAATGAAGGATTACGAGATAGATAAGAACGAGAATTTCAGTGATACGAGAAGTGAAACTGTCGGAAACGAGAATCGCAGCGAAGAAGTACACGAAACGACGAAGGAGCAGGTGCAATCCGAAATAGTTTTGACGAAAGGAAAGGATTCCGGATCTCCGCTGAGGACAGTCGCAGCGGTTGATAAACTAAAATCGGATTCGGGTAATAAAAATACGACGGACAACGGGAGACTGGTCGATGCGAATGAGGCGAAGATGACCAACAGCAGTAGAGCTGACGACAAAGAAAACGGTATCTCTGATTTAGAGCGAGACAACAGCGACGTTCAGGAGGTGTCTGCTGACACTCGTTCGAACGTGTACTCTGGCAGCGTGGGTAAATCGAGAATGAGCGTCGAAGTTATATACGACCAGAAAGCGGTGCACGAAGCAAAACTGAAACCTAAAGAATTAGTAGAGATCGACGAGGATGGAGAGAAGATCGTGTTGGACTCGTCCCAAGAGGATTCCGACGTAAAGAACAGGAGCAACAGCATCCTGGATAACACAAAGTCTGACACGACGTACAAAAGTTGTCAGGACAGTAAAAGTCGCAGTGACTTTAGTTATAAAACGATAGAGAGTAGCAAAGAGTCTTCTGTGGGTTCCGGGAAATCCGGTAATAAGATGGTGAACGGAAGCAGCGAGAGCAAGAGATGCGACACGGACAGTACGGCTAGTGTGCAGTCCGACACGTTCACCGACATGCCGGTTCTGGACAAGGCCGATAGTACGAACGCGTCCGTGCACAACGTCAATAGGCAGATAAAACCGATTCTTAAGGACAGCAGCGATCTGTTGAGCGTCAGCGATAACGAACCGGACGTTTATATAGTGGACGACAAAAAGTCGAGCTCGACTCGTACCAGTTCGATCACGAAACCATTGCAAATAGAGAGAGAAGTCGGCCTGTACGTACGGGTAAAGTGTCTCCTGCAGGTAGACGAGAACACGAAAGAATTCCTGAGTAAAGAGATCTCCGGCGTGCAGTGCGAATCGGTGAATACGGAGCCCAGCACTTTGAGACACAAGAACGACACGTCCACCTCGTTAGCGGACATCTCCGGGAACGACAACAAGGACACGTCCCCGGGGTCGGTGAACAGTAACCTGCCGATGTATCAGCTGAATCCTTCAAGACTTTCATTCGCGTCCACGATCAGTTCTTCGAGTTCCGTGTCCAGCGCCGCGTCCCTAGCGATCAAGCTCGCTATCAAAGGCAGCACGCATTTTTCTTTGCCGAAGGGACCGGCAAAGCACGCGAAGAAACACGCGTCCGATGTGCAGTCGCTGAACGAAACGTTCGAGCGGTTGAACAAGGAATGGCAGAATCTTCAGCTCGTCACGACGAGCGTTATGAATTCTGTGAACGCGGAACTCACTGGAGTCGACGCGTACAACGTTAGCCACGAAAGGATAGACGATCGAAAGATCCGTTCCTCTACCCCGGAGAAAATGGATACACCGAAGAGCGCGAAGAAGCCGGCTAAGAGGCCGAGAAGCAAGAACGCGAAATCGACCGGCCAATCCAACGGATTGAACAAAATCGCGAAGATTGCGAGTCCGCTGGAGAGCGACGACACGCCGAACAAGAAGACTAGCAAAACTGAACACGTGGAGACCGCGCCCACCAGCCCGGAACGGGTGTCGACCAAGTATATGTCCGAAATTCTGACGGACGATCTGATCGGTAAGGACGTGTTCGCCAAGTGGTCCGACAAGAATTACTATCCCGGGAGGGTGATCGACAAGATAAAAGCCAAGTACAAGGTGAACTTTTACGACGGACAGAACAAGGTGCTGATCGAGGACTTCATCATACCGATACCGGAGACACTCAGGAAGGGTTTGTCCGTATACGCTACCACTAAGGACGATTACGGATCCTGCGGTATAATCGTCGACAGCGAAGTTGTAAATAACGAGGTGTACTATACGGTCGAGACGGACGAAGGGGAGAAGCTGCGGGTTCGGATCAACGACATATCTCTGTCTTCCGACCAAGCCCAGGTGCTGAAGGAGGAAATGAACACGGGGAACAAGGTCTTGCCGTCCACGCCAAAGCATTTGAGTCACATAACGCTGGACAACATGGTCGAGGGTAAAAGACGCTCGAAACGAATCGCCACACCGAGTTTCTCCACTCCCAAATCGAAGTTGATCCATACTCCCGGCAAGTCCGAGGTAGAACCGTCCGTTTCCGGTGTCAGCTCGGTTAAAAAGGAGAAGAAACCGAGCACCGAGAGCGACGGCGTTTCCAGCGATTCGAACGTTTCTATTAAAGACGAGGTGTCGTCTATCGGCGTCCAGCCGGAGATCATCGGCACCCCTTACGAGCAAATCGTTAAAGGGCCGCAGAATCGAATCAAGAGCAAGTCGAGAAGTAAAAAGAAAACGGAAGACGCACAGATGATCGCGCAGCTCGGTCCGATTCCGCGCGACTCTAGTCTCTTCGAGGGGACCTCGTTCGTGCTGACCTGCGCATCCTTGGAGACCATCGACCGATTTCAAGTCGACAACAAGGATTACGGCTCGGATCCGGGCACCGAAGACGAGGAGGAATGGGCGAAGAAGCCTTTCGTCAGGGATAGATTGATCAAGCAGATAACAGCCGGCGGCGGAAAGGTTTACACGGACTTCAACGAGATCCCGGAGCAGGAGTACAAAAATACTAAGTTAATAACGAACGTGCCGAACACGACTGCGAAGACGCTGCACTGTCTCTCGGTCGGCATACCCGCGTACAATCATAACTGGATAATAAGATGTTGTCAGGAGGTGACTATAGACGCTACTCGCATTATCACTCGCACATACTTGTGTCACGCGTATTTTCGTGCTCACGATTATTCTTGTTCGTACAGGGTAAGATCATAAACCCGGCCGAGAACGAGCTACCAGCCGGATGGAGTTTGGAGAAGAACTCGTACGTGGAGATGTTTCGACGGCCAAGCAACAAGCCGTTGTCCCAAGTCGTAGTGATAATACCGGTCGTCGAATCTGAGAAACAGTTCTCCTCGTTCTGGCAACAGATCTGCGAGAACGCTGGTGCCGTAGTTTTGCTAGCGGAAAAACAAGGTGAGAACCAAGACCATGCGACGGAAGATTGTACGATCGCTGCCATCGATCCGTCGATCGGCGTCTTAACTTAACCGAGATTCGTTTTCAGATGCGATGGAGAGTTTCGTAGAGGGTACCGTGGTGCTTGCTAACAGCCGGTGCCCGCCTTGGGCGGTGGAGAAGGCTAACGAATTGCAGCTTCCATTGCTTTCTACGACGTGGGTCATTCAGTGTCTGGTGGAAGGGAAAACGTGCCCGTACGATGCGCAACCACGTTATAAATATAATTATAAGAGCAACTAGGTTTACGTTCAACGATCGGGAAGCTGTATACCTAATATCGAGAACAGGTGAGATCGTATTTCTGTAGATTAGAACACCTTTCATTTGTATCGTGTTGCCACGGATATACTTAACAAGCCGAAAATGTTTCATCGTTGTCTGACACTTTCATTTGCCTTCACACTTACTGCAAAGTACCGACCCAAGGTACTTTAGGCTCTTAGACTTAAGGATTTATGTTTCTTTGCTGCTGTCAGAAATCTATTTTTAAACAAGCGTCTGATGAAACCAGTCCAGTTGCAACAGTTAAATATCACGACTACTTTTGTTCAGCTCGATCTCCAAGTCAAACCGTGATTTGTATAAACGACGGTAGGCGCGTTTACGTAGATGTGCGCCGTCATGATTTCTTTGTTTCCCGATTGTTCGTACAAACCTCACGCGTATGACTTATGACCGCAGAACTTATCACTTGTCACGACGAAGAATGTAGCGTTAGGATTTTATAACATTTTGTACGAAAACGAATTCTAAATCGAAAATCATTTGTATAAAATGTGTAGTTAGGGAACAATTTGGGTCACAGCTTTCGTCTTTCAACTATCGACTGGCCATCGCCACCGGCGAACACCTCATCTCGCAAACCGAAGACAAAGACAAAAATAGAAATTCGTATTTACACCGAACGTGTAAATAACTCGTTTTTTACCACTCGTTACTTTTTCCACGTTAACGTAATAATTACGCGGTATTTATGAACGCTTCTCGAGAGCGACTGATTTCAGGACACGCGATAAACCGGTTTAATGCAAAAGTCGCATTCTGGACGCATTCTGGACGCATTCTGGATGCGTTTCGATGAGAAGAAAGACAATGAATTAGGCGCCGCTAAAAGAGAGCTCTGTGAATCAAAGTCTGGATGATGTGTGTCGTGTAAATATTTTTCTACTTATGAAATATGGTAGCGACAGACGTTGAAATCTATTTACATTAAATACCTTTCACGTGCCGTGGACCCGTGTCCAATTGCACATCGGAAAATGCGACTTTCGTTACTTATGTATCGGATAAATAATCGAAAAATATCAAGCAGATTGCCCGTCGAATTGAGATAGAGAGGACTAGTGATTCACAAACGACGGTACGAAAAGATATGGATGCATGTGTATCATGCGAGTTCACGTTAGTATCACACGACGTTTACGTTAAACCAAATATCGATGGGACGACAAGAATATTATATCGTATGTACGTGGCGGGTGGACATGTACGATCATGTATATATAATTATATATAGTCATAGTCTATATACATATAATACAAATTTTATTATGTAAGATGTAGCTATTATGTAAAATGTTTGGGGATAAAATACAATGACATATTTTGGCAAAAAGCGTTGTTCAGTGTCGTTCAACAGGTGACACGGTGCACCGAGCAAACCAGGAATGATGCCGTCGGATCGCGTCGACTACCATCGTATAGAAATATTTTACATATAATACACATCATCGTACGCGCGGGTGTACGTAGAAAAAGAGCTTAATAAAATGACCAGCGTGTGCTTACATATACTTTAAGGATTATACCAGTCCAGGAAGAGGAGAGAGAACGACATGACTAGAAGGAAGAGAAGGATCCACACTCTCAATCCCGCGTTTCTCTGGATAGCTTGTCTGATCTGATCGTTAGCTTCTTTCACGTTCTCCGTCGAGGCGACGACCGTCGTCATCAAACGGTCCAAGTCCTTGTCCTGGTCCAACACCTTCTCAGTGAATATCTCCTGTAGCTCGGCTATGTGTACCACCTTGCTCTCGATCTGCTTCACCTCTTCCGTCAGCGTGTTCAGCTCGTTGTACAGTTGTTCGTTCTCCGCCTCGAACAGCTGCGCGTCCTCGGGCGATATTTCTTCCTCGTACGTCAGGGCGTTCACGTCCCCGTTTAATTCTTGTATCTTCATAGGACTGGAGTCGTTCGAACTGACTTTGTTCTCCTTATCCTCTGTTCTCTCGTTATGGCTGGACCTTCTCATTTCCACTCGTTCCTCCGAGCGTTTACCGGGCTTCGAGTCCATTTCCAGTCTGGCGATTTTCCTTATCTCCATAGCCCGCTTCACTCTCATCGCTTTCTGTTCGGAATAGACTTTGCAAACGTTCTTCAGGTAATCTTCTATCAACAGCAACATGATTTCCCTGTGCTCCAAATTCTGAGGAGAAACTTCCGAATCCGCTATCTCTCGTCTGAGTTCCTTGATCAGTTGAGAGCAGGTGCTCATGATCTTCTGTGCTCCGATATCTATCTCGTCGCGGTCAGCATCTGACATGCTGGGTACATTTGACAGGTAGTTGGAGAAGTTCAAGTAAGCCTTACGATTATCTAACAGAAATTCACGTAGCTTCGAAATTTGCGCTACGACTCCTTGGGCTTTCACGAAGAAGGCACTTTTACTTTTTGACTTCTTCAAAATCTTTACATTGTTCGCGACTCCTAAAGCTTTGTTACGAAGACTGACAGTCTTCACGCTTGCTTTGAACAGTGAGCTGACGTCCATGCTCGCTTTCACTGATTAAATACTCTTGCGATATTTAATGAGAAATAAACCACCTTTTATCGTCATACGTACGCACATTGACAGCGAGTTATTGCTCCAGACAATTGTTGACGAGTCAACATTTAACAGCAAGTCGATCGCATCTTGCACGAAACGGTTCGTAGGATGCCTTACGAAATTCTTTCGTACAAAATGCTTTTCCAAATGAATTTCCTATCGAGACGGATGTCGGTACATACCTGCATATACATCGTTTCGGTGTCATGCACCTGGACCGGACGGCGCACGCTTGGTGGCTCGGTGGTGGACGGTGGACGGCGTGGACGCTCCGTCACCCAGAGAACGGGACGTGACGAACCATGAAATTCAAAATGGCGGCCTGCATGGGAATACTAATACAGGAACGGTGTAAATTATAAAAATAGTAAACGCTATTCGTTCATTGTATCATTTACTTATTATTTAATCAATTATTAGGTTAATTAACATTTTAAAACGTAGGTTAAAATGATTTTGGGGTTGCTCGTGGCGCCATCTAGCGTAAATTCCGTTCCTGTATTAGTATTCCCATGCAGGCCGCCATTTTGAATTTCATGGTTCGTTCACGTCCCGTTAACCGAGTTGTATACGTCACGTTGTACTATATACATACGCCGTACGGCGTCCAAACCTGTCAAGATTCTCATCCATCGCAACAGTTAACCTAACCGATCCCGTGTACGAACGCATACAGAAAGCACAACGGCAACAATATTCTCGAAACCGGTGTTTGAATAACAGGTGGACTCGCGTAGAAAGAAATTCTATCGTCACTAATAAATAATAATAATTTCTATTTCGTTCCCTAAAAATCGTCGCATTCGTGTTTCGGTAGGATAAAAATTTAAATCGTTACATTTAGCGTGTGAATTATAAAACACATATTGCGACTGAACCTAGAAAGTAGAATCAGTCCGAAAATTGCACGGATAACAAAGGTGAAGAAAAGAAATGAATGAAAATAAAATTGCGGATACATATTTTCGTGTGAAAGGAAATACTTCGGTAGTCGGTAATGCAGTGGACGATCTGCGAAGACCGGAACACGTAACTGAATGGAACTACTACTACCGAAATGACAAGATGGCACGTCAGCAGCCAGTAGACTTCGACGAACTTTTCGACGTAAAAAATCACTTTTACATTGGCAATTACCAGCAATGCATCAACGAGGCGCAAAAGATCAAGGTACGCGTACGTCCCTTAAACGTGAACGTTCTTCTCTCTTCGCCTCGATGAAAATCGTTTTTTTTTCACGCACCGCTGGCACGATCTTCTCGACTTTTCACGCTCGAAAGTTGATTCGATCGTCGTTCGCGCGTATTAAAAGCGAATCACGGTGCGTTTGTCTCTGAAAACGTTAACGTTACTTGGTTTATTGTCACAGTCGTCTTCGTCGAAGGTGGCGGTGGAACGGGACGTGTTCCTCTACCGTGCTTATATAGCGCAACGAAAGTTCCGCGTTGTGCTGGATGAAATAAACAATTCGTCACCCCATAGTTTGCAACCGTTGAAGATGCTCGCTGATTACTTCGCGAATCCCGGCCGCAGGGACGCGATAGTCTCGGAACTGAGACAAGCGACGAAACATGCCAACAGCGATAATCACAACTTCCTGATAGTCGCAGCGACCATCTTCTATCACGAGAAGAATCTCGACCAAGCGCTCAGGATGCTGCGCAACGTGGATCACCTGGAATGTTTGGCCTTGACCTTGCAGATTTATTTGAAAATGGATCGGTTGGATCTCGCCAAGAAGGAGTTGCTGACGATGCAGGAGAAGGATGACGATGCCACTCTTACTCAGCTGGCACAGGCGTGGTTGAACATAAGCACCGGCGGTGATAAGTTGCAAGATGCTTATTACATATTCCAGGTAGAGTCGTGTTCGTCCCGGAACTTTATACGAATCAGTTGGATTTATCAAGCATAACGACTCGTTCTTGTCTTGGTTCACAGGACATGATAGACAAACATTCCAGCACTAGTATGTTGTTAAACGGGCAAGCCACTTGTTTCATCGGACAAGCCAGGTACGAAGAGGCTGAAACGGTTTTACAAGAGTCGTTGGACAAAGATAGTAACAACCCGGACACGCTGATCAACATGATCGTTCTGTATCAACACATGGGAAAGCCGCCCGAGGTTACTAATCGTTATTTAAGTCAGTTGAAAGATTCACATCTGGAGCATCCGTTTGTTAAAGAGTATTTAGAGAAGGAAACAGAATTTAAAATTCTCAGGAAACAGTATTCCACGTCCGCCTAAAACTGTACCGGGTGATAGCGATGTCGATTAAAGTTTAACGAAAATTAACTACCGAGAGCAACATGTAACAATACAGATTGTAGATTGAAACGATGGAAAGAGATCTTAGAATGTTACTTGCAGGGTATAACGCACTTCTACACGAACTCACCTTTTTATTCATCGTAAAACGATGACGTGTCCATTTCTTTTTGTACCATTCATTCCGTTCAGTGATTTTATATCGACTAAGGAAAATTCACTTTTGCATGGAATTTTTACGATACCTACGACATCATTGGCAAATAAAAGGATAGCGGGTTCGAACCATTTACAATTTTTACACGTATAACCGACAAAATATAATATATATACAAAATGAAATAACGAATAAGGTATCTACGTAATCGCTTCGTATTCGACTACTCTCTTTCTCTCTCTCTCTCTCTCTCTCTCTCTTAATAAAATATTATATACGATAAGTAAAATAATGTGGCTGCCATTTTACAATACGGTTACACGGAGAAAAAGTATCGGAAAATTTCGTTTCTGCATGCGTTCTAACATACATTAGACCAATGTATGGTATATTTAATAAAGTTCCATCTCATGTATCAACGCTGTACAACGATTTGTTCTGTTCTCGATTGGCGTAGTAGCCAGAGAAATCATAAGGAAAACCTGGTATCGGACATCGATCACGTACTTCGATATTTGTTCGATCGATGAACCTCTTCTTTTAAAGACATTAGAAACATCCAGGAGGTATATCCTACTGTGCGACGATGTAATAAGATCCGACCTAGGTCGATCAGCATCACTCAAATTCTATCGCGTCGACTCTACCGGCGTGGTCATGTCATGGCAGGTCGTCGATTTTCCCGCGCGATATTTGCCATCTAACGTCGCGTTCAATAAACGTGTAGTGTCAAGCCGAGAAGCGTCTATCGGACGAAGGAATTCGAAAATTTAAACGGACAAGTTTAGTCAGTCGGGATGCGCAGTTAAAAGTGACGAGACCGTCGTATATAAATTCCAAGAGCCGTCCCACGTCGTGGACAAACATACGTGTACCTTGTATCGTCGAAGCTCGCGAAATCGTTCACTGGATTCCGGCGGAAAGAAGATACGCCGAGGGAATCGTACGAACGAGACAGAGAGTTTTCAAAATAATAACATCGCCGTGTGTCGTGTTCTCTCGGTTAGCCGCTCCTCGAGCGAGACCTGCCCTGGGAACGGATCAGTCGATGCTTTTTTTTGCCCTTTGGAAACAACGCATTAGTATGTAGACGCATGTTCGTGACATAGCTACACCAAATAGGTATTTACGATAAGTTGCTGGTTAACCGTCCAACGAACGATCGCGTTTCGATCTCTCCGTAGTTCCCGTCGGAAAGCAGGAACCGTTCGTCGGCTCTCCTTCGACCAACGATCGCCTGCGACGTTATTTACATGACAGGTAGTTTTTTTTTCCGAGTGCGACACGGTTTCAGTTATAGTCACGTTATAGACACGTTTCTGCGAGTGTCTTCTCGCATTTGCTCGCTGATCCCTGCTATCTGATCACGCTCCGCGTCAGAGACCGATTTGATATCGAGGTGGTTAACCTTCGACCAGTAGTTTTGGTGTTCGAGAACAAGAAGCACGGCTGTTTTGCAAAGAACTTTTATTTGTTCGCAGGAAAAGACGCTCTACAAATGGTAAACCCGGCACGTTCGCGAACAATTCGGAAAAGAGACGTTCGATATTTAAACGGCACAGCGGCCTGAGCACTCACCGCTGGGATTGTACAACGATAAACGAAACAAATTTACGTAGAGATAATTCAGAAGACACAGATCGCGAACGGTGGAGGAACAGGATGTGTTAAATGACAAGATACACGGTTCATATTCAGTTACACTGATTTATATATATATATATGTGTGTGTATACGTTGTTTGCTGAGCCATCGATCAGGGACACGCTCCGCTCGATTAACCGAATTTAACGAATCGTATCCTTTACGGAAAGCATTCAGAAGCACGTTATACACATGTCATGAAAGAGCGTGCCGACGGAAAGAGATACGTTCGAATATATATTTATGTTGCATAATTATTTATCACGTTATCGCGCTGCTAGAACAGAACGAATTTATTTTTACATTTTTTACAAACGAGTGTGAATAGCGTATGAGTCGATACAGCGCGTTACTGGCTGTGAGACGCTTGCTCTCGTCGTGGATCATCGAGACCTCATACGTGAAATTAGCATATTTTAGATAGTTTTTCTACGTTTATTTTGACTATGTATCACACTATGTATCCGCCACAAATAATGGTGCAGATAATGGGTGGCCAACAGGCAAATGGACAGTGCCTGCCAATTCAGTCGCACGCAATGCACATGCATGGTGCCAGCGCTTACCATCAGTCAGAATACGCAAAATATCGCTCGGATGGTTGTTCACAGAACAGGCATCAAATGATACAGGTGCGTATGGATCTGTCGATCGGGTGCCTTTCGTGGCATCGGTTCCTTGTATATTCACCGACAACATTACGATCATACATTTTTCTATATGTCCACAAAGTCCGTTTAAGAGACGCGTCCAAGTGTGTTTGAACGGAAACGATATTCTTGCAGACAGGATCTTATCCACTGGAGCTATTGCAGTTAATGGGGGTCGAGATACCGTCGTTGAGGCGGATAGATTACGTGCAATCGAACGGTGGTGGCACACCTCCGGGACACTGGCCGAGACGCGTAAACACGTCGAACGGTTCGCCCGTTTTGCCGTCCCCGCACCTCCCGTACAGACCGAGCAACAACAGTCTGGCGAACAAGAAATCGAACTGGTACAAGAAACTGAGCACAAGGACGCCGTATCGGGACACGTCGTTCGGGAACAACGACAAGTACGGCAGCGACAATGGGTTCAGTCCACGGTCCCCGGTCCCGAATAAACATCACGTCGACGGTAGTCAAACGGAAAGTTCGGACGAACGAGATTCCGTGGGTTCCTCCATAGATCAGAGTATGAAGTGAGTTTGTCGGAATCTCGGGTGAAATCGATCGGACCGGACGGGATGAACGCGTGTCCTGTTTCAGGAAATCGCACAAACCTCAGCCGACTAACGATAACAGAGTGACGCAGTACGGCGTGATTTCGAGCAGTTCCCCGCATCAGTATTACCAAGCTCAACGACCCCTCGACTGTTACCCTCCCACCAGCTTGGCGACGTCCAGGACTCAAGTGCAACAGACCTACCAGAACAAGAGAAGGTACCATTCAGGTACGATGACGAACGGAGAGCGTGTGTCGTTCCGCCGTTTATTTCAGGGATCAGAGATCACGTTTTTAGGGAGGAACAGTCCGCCTCTGCAGAGAGTACCGAGAAACAAAAGGTTCCTAGGAATGTTGCCGCCGAATTATAACGCGTTCCCCAGATGCGGAATCGCTCCAGATCGATTCCTCGCTAGGTCGCATTTGGTCGAGGTGACGCACACGCCGGAGGATCTGCTCGACGGGTCGATCTGGGACAGGCTGTCGACAGACGTCTGGTCAAAGTTCATGTTGAATCAACAAACGGAGAACGTCTATACGAAGAAAATGATGCTCTGGAGATATCTTTACATATATATCAAGGTACAGGTTCGAACCGTGGCGAATTCACGGCGAATTGACGGCGAATTCACGACGACTCAGGACGCGATGGTATCTCTACTTGCAGGGTACATTTCCGAAATACGGTTTGTTCCTGGTCGGTTCCACGATGAACGGGTTCGGATCCGACAATAGCGACGTCGACATGTGCCTTCTAGTGAGGCATACGGAAATGGATCAGAGGAACGAGGCTGTCGGTCACTTGGAACAGATATTAAAATGTCTAAAGAGATGCGGTACACGTTCAGCTGAATTTCTCGTTTCACATCGCTGTACTCTGTTTAATACGTTCCTCTCGTTGTTCTCGACAGATTTTATAGAGCAGTTAGAACTGATCCAAGCCAAAGTACCGATCCTGAAATTCCACGATTCCATACAAAATTTAGAAGTCGATTTGAACTGTAACAACGCAGTCGGCATTCGTAATACCCATCTTCTTTATTGTTACTCGCGAAGTAAGAGACATTTCCATTGAAAATAAGATCGAGCTTCCGCCCACCGCGATGGAACAGTAAAATGTTCTCGAACGATTTTCCAGTCGACTGGAGGGTGAGACCACTGGTGCTCGTGGTCAAACTTTGGGCACAATCGCAGGACATCAACGACGCCAAGAACATGACGATATCCAGTTATTCTTTAGTTCTCATGGTGATTCACTTCTTGCAGTGTACGTATATCGAGATCACGTCGACCGTTCACGCGTTTCAACGCGAACCTTCTGTTCTCTTTCAGGCGGTGTCAACCCACCGGTGTTGCCTTGTCTGCATTCGCTTTACGAGGGCAAATTCGGGCCGCACACAGACATCCATTTTATAGACATCCAAGAAGAACTGGACGTTCCAGCTTCCGCGTTACGGCTCAGAAACCGACAATCGTTAGGCGAATTGTTGGTGGAATTTTTTCGATACTACGTCACGTTCGAGTAAGGGAAACGATGCATCCCGCTCAGTTTACCAGAATCACGTTCCATTGAATTGAATCGTTCGGTTAGTTTCAGTCAGTACGCGATATCGGTCCGCCTGGCTGACAAAATACCGATAGAAGACTGTCGAAGAGCTCGGTCTTACAAAAACGATCCGCATCAGTGGAAATATCTGTGCATCGAAGGTAACTACGAAGCTTGAACTTAGTTCGATAGGACTTTTCCGTCTGACTCATTCGACGCTTGTATACGTGCACAGAGCCGTTTGATCTGACCAACACTGCTAGATCTGTCTACGACCCGGAGGTGTTCGCGAGGATCAAGCACATTTTCGATTGCACGTACCAGAACTTGAAGGAATACCACGATCTAGCCAGGATATTCGTCAAGGTGAACTCGAGCAGCTCACCGTACATCGTCACGTAACCGAGTCGACGGCAGGCTAGTATAGAAGTATTCACGTTATCATAGTGTAATTTTATACGTATGAAAAACGATTCGTTTCCGCGATCGGCCTCCTTCGAACATAGTAATTACGCATTACATATTAAATACGAGGCGCTCTTCGACCGATACCGTCAGCGCGCGTGAGACAAAACAAAAGTACAACGAGGTAACATTACGCGTTCACCTCTCGAGCCAATTGCTCGGCTCGTATCTTGTGATAATGGCCCGCGTCTTCGTGCGACGGCTCATCCGTTACGTTTAGACGCTCGAGTTTTCGTTCTCCTCGTATCGTTCTGTTCCCGTTTCATTTCCCTTTATTTTTTTAAATGCGTGAACGTGTAACTCTGCCGCTTGACTCGCGAGTTTCCGATACGGTTCGAGAAGAGGGGTGGTTCTTTTACTTTCCTTTGAAAAAGATTCGTTGATTCGAGGAGCGGCGTTAAATCGAGCCGGACGTTCGGTAGCGAGTGGCAATCGTGTAAGCATGCACACGCGACGGTTCTCCCACTCGCGTTCAAGTATTGTTCGAGATTCGATGTACGTACTGCAGTGTTTCGCGAAGCGTGTTTCGAAATTCCAGATACGCGAGATCACGGTGCCTTAAAATCGTCGGCCACTGTTCAACTTACTGCTGCCACGTGGCCTCTCGTTTGTAAAACAAAAGAAAATATTCTAAAAACAAGTCTCGGTTCTCATTGACAATTACTTACGGTAAAAAAGAAGAAATCAAAATTAGCTCGATGCAAACAAAAACTATACGTCTAAAATAACAAAAAAAAAGTATTCGTCATCGAAATTTTTCTAGAATTTAAAGTTATTCATATATACGATGTAAGAGGTACTTATTCTAAATTTAAAAACTAAAAAAGCAGAAAAAAAAATTTGTGAGAAACTTGAAACGTACGCTTAAGAAAGTATTTAAAAACAAAAAATATCTCGACGAGATATAAAAAAAAAATATATAAAAATGTAAAAGCAAAGTATGGCTTGAGAAGAGGAGTGAAAGGTAAAAAAAAAGAAGGTAAGAAAAAATGAAATACCGTCTCGAAGAACGAGGGAGAAATTAATTGGAGCTGCTTGAACGAGATCGATCGAGTGCTACTAAAATCATTGATCAAATTCTTATTGTTGAATGTGCCAAAAAAATGTGATTAATTTGGTCTTCCATACGTTCGAGCAGACTCTGCGATTCGAGCACACTTGTCCCGATACGATCGATCTCCCGAAGAGACGAGTCGAAATTATCGTACGATGATCGTACACGAAAATTTTATCATTAGACCGAACGACGATAATTCCCATTTTGTTACATCACGTAATTCGCAATAGTTTTCGTTCTGTACTTGGTTGTAAGACAGACATTCGATTAACAGAGTTCCTATACTTAACGATTAGGGGAAGGAAACGGAAGGTTTCCGGTGACGTTACTAGTCTTTGCGTTTGTAGAACGTGAAATTTATACACGCGCAACGCGTTAAACGTTTGAAGCATCGTGTTCGAGTAAAAAAGAAGGCTGTGTTGATGTAATATAAAACTCGTTGCGATCGCTGACACGATCCCCGGGCCTGTGGGCATTTTCGTTAATTAAAAATCGAGCGGAACGAGTCGCGTTCCGTTCGGTCATCGAATTTAAACGCGAACAAATTTTCAGACGAACTTTACCGTGTTCCACGACAGGCCTGATATATTTTTCTAATGATTTGTTTACTGATTTTTGTAACAGATGTAACGGAATATTAATCATCTTGATTCCCAGAAAAAGAAGCTAAATATCCGTAAATCTTCCCAATTCTCTTTGTCAATTCCACGCAAAACACGTGTTACGACGCTAAATTCTAAGGCGACGACATCGAACTTTTGTAATTTCCATTTTGTTGTTAAATAAAAGCTATTTATATACATAAAACTCCAACGGCTGGTCGCATCAGTTTCTTCTCGACGAGAGAGACGTACGGGGATAGATTGTGAAGAAGATCGAACACAGGTTTGTTCTCAAATAAAATTTATTCGTTCAGTTAAAGTCCTCACAATAATTTTCCACATTATATTTTGCAGTTAGCGGTGCGCTGTTGGTCGGTAAGAAGAAAAGAAAACAATTTCGTATCGTGTACCGTTGCTTTTCGTTAGTTTACTTTTTTTTCCCGTCTGACAAATTTGACCCTCGATTCGCAAAAGAAAATTGATTACCGCGAGAAGCCGAGTACAGACACAAAGTAGAGAAAGAATAATCTAATTAACTGCAGGGGGTGGGGGGATTGTACGAGGGGTGTAAAGAAAATAACGAAAAAGGAAGCTTCTAAATTAAAAGAATCGGTCAGATAGAACGATCGCTTTGGTCACTATGTTAGAACAAGTAAAATAGTTGGAACGCTAATCGTTGTCTGCTCGTGTCTTTCTAGATGAGAATACAATTCCAAGTCCTTACGTTCCCTTTTCCTCGGCTACAGCTCCACGCCCGTCGCGCGAACACCGTTCGAAGAAAGACTTCCCGATTTATCCTACGTCACCGTTCGTCGTAGCAAGTTCTACCGACGTGAAGAAAAAAGAAAAGGAAACACAAATACGGAATGAAATCGGATTTTCATTCTCGCGCATTCCGTCGACCCCTGCGTAAATTAAAATATATACAATATATATACCGGTCTAACCATAAGAAATAGAAACTAATTAATATGCTCGGAATTAATAGGATTCCTTTTATCGGTTACCGATGCGACGTCGACGCGTCACTCCGAGCGTTACGAAAAAGGACTCGTCCTCTCTCTTCGCGCGATGACGCGTCGCGGCCTGATTTTGACTCACTGTTCGACGAGAAGATCGATCAGCGACTTTTTTTTTCCGTCGGTCCAAGGACAGAGTCGACGACGACGACGACGACGACGACGACGGGCCGGTGTTCTTACTCCGTCTCTCCGCATCTCTCGAATTCTGTCGACATCGTCGCGTGTCCACGCGTTGAGAGAATCGTACTTTTTATTGTCGCTGTTTCTCGCAGTTGGTGAGTGAGACGGTGATCGAAACAAACGCGTGTGTGCGTTCGCGTGTGCGACAGTGTTCAAAATACGGCCAGTAGAACCAGCTGAACGGTCGTTTCCGTGTCACTTTTCACGCTACGATCCAATTCGTGAGCAACGTACGAGCTTGGCCTTTACTGTTGTACCAAAGAACATCTGATCGGGTTCAAGCTTCCTGCCACTTCTCCATCTTCTCGGGTATGCACGATGTACGTGTGTCCTCAGGCATACGAGACCACCTGAAGTCGCAGTGATCAACTTCGTTCTTCGGAAACGCGAGATGATCATTAAAAATCACGTTGATTCGAGCCTGAGAGAATGCTGCTCGATCAATTCGAGTTTCGCACGCGGTTCGTATCTTGGCGAGCGAACAATCTCGTTCCGTTTACCGATTGCTCGCCTCGCTCCTCGAGATACTTGAAAAAGACACGTGACGCGTTATCAAGGGATAATATAGAATGTCTCGTAAGTCTCTCTCTCTCTCTCTTTCTCTCTGTCCCATCGTTCATATTGTACATCATGTTCCTCGGTTATTCCAATGACAACGGACGTTCATGACGTTACACAGCAGTCCCTTCGTCCTGTTTCCCTCGCTGGTCAAACACTTCCGGCCTTCGACCGGTTGTCAACGAGCAGCAGCGACCCTGTAAAATCCGTCATGAAAGCGTTTACGCGTCCCGTATCTTCCTTATCTCTCCCTCATACTCATTCGTTTTTCTCTCGAGTGTCACGTAATTTTTGGTATTTTCATCCGTTTTCAACGTTGTCCCGCTGCGTGTGTGTTGTTCTAGCGTCACTCGATCCCCGCGATAAAACGGTACGTTCACGGTAAGCGCGTGTCACGGTGATGATGGTCGACAATTTTTGGTGACAGTGTCGTCTCCCAGTCCTATCCCCTTTTTTTGTATCTTTTGTCCAAGTCGTTACTCTTTTTGGTATAGTTGGCTTGTGTCGCACTTGATATGCCCGATGGTTTTGTCTTACTCTTTAACCATTTCCTTTTCCCGTCTAGAACAGTCTAGCGTAGCGACGGTAAATGGCGACGAACTCTCCCAAGTTTGCAGTTATTTCGTTTTTTTGGCTTTTATTCGTATGCTTGCTTTTTTTTTTGTTTTAAAAATCCTCTTTTTTTAAAACGCCGACGACTGCGTGTGCAACAATCGTAACCGTACTCGATCGCCGAGCCGTTTTACCGTTTCGCGCAGTTAGTGATTTGTGGTTGTTGGTCGAAGAAGAATTGGTCGAACGAGCCTTCAGTCGCTCCCGCGACGCTGCATAGCAATTGCGTTGCTCAGCCGTACGATCTCGGCTCAGTATGGCTGGGAGAACTGTCCCCCGGCTTGTGACTGTCCGGACTGATAGAAACCACTTCGATCGCCCTGGTACGTCGAGTCCTGCGACAACAAACCGTCCATCTGCGATTGAAACTCCCCGACAGCGAACGAGTCCTGAGAAAGCTCCGCCTGACTCAGACCGGGCTGGGATAGACTGAAACCTGGCTGGGACATGCCTTGCGTGGTGCCCTGGGTCAACGGCAAGCCGGGCTGGCTATACGGCTGGGTGTTCTGCTCCGTTTGGCTCAGCTTGCCCATGCGCGGGCCACCCTGCTTGTTCTTCGACGGGGCGGCTCCCCTGCGATTCCGTTGATTCTGTCTAGCCTGCAACGCCTGCTGGTGCTGGTTGTAGAAACGGGGCGGCACGTGGGCCATGTTCATGAACATCCCCACGGGGACCGGCACGTTGTTCATCGCCGCCTGCGCTCTTTCCGGGCTGATGTAGCTGATAGTGTCGTGGGTCCTGCTGAATATGTCCAAAGGCACGTTTCTCTGATAGTAAGGATTGTGATTCTGCGTCCCGTTCACTTGAGCACCGGACCGGTCGTAGACCGATCCCGGAATCAGAGCCTCTCTCGCGTCGTACATCGAGGTCGACATGAAATGGGAGCCCGGGTTAGCGGCGTTCACGAGCTTCTTTGGTTTCGCGAACTGGATCATCGATTCCTTGAGATTGTTCAGCGGTCCCTCGACGAGGACCTTCTGTTCTTTGTAGAAGCTCAACAGGTGGTTCCACAGCGGCTGCTTCGACAGCACCTTCGGATTGCCCACGATGATTATCCCATATTTTGCGCGGGTCAACGCGACGTTCAACCTGCGGGGATCGTTCAGGAACCCGATACCCTGATGCTCGTTCGATCGTACGCACGACATGATTATTATGTCTTTCTCCCTGCCTTGGAACGCGTCCACGCTGGCTACCTCGATCTCCTGATAAAGTTTCGAGTGCAGGGATCCCTGATACTGCATGTACTGAACCAGATAAGCTCTCTGACCTTCGTAGGGGGTTATCACTCCGATCTGCTCGGGCTTCACGCCGCAGCGTAAGAATCTGGTCGCTATCTTCTCGACGTTCGACGCCTCCGTTCGATTCAGGTACGACGTGCCGCTGCCGGCGATTTCCTCCTGTCCCTGGGTAACATAGAAGAACATCGGCTTGTCGGGGGCTGGCCAAGGAAAGTCGATCTTCAACAGCTTCCTCTCGTCGGCGCACACGCCGTTCTGCAGCGAGCCTTCGTAGAAGAAGTTCGAGGGGAAACGCGAGAGATCCGGGTGCATACGGTATTGCACTTCCAATCTGAACGGTCTGATGCCGAGAACGACCAGTCTCTCGAAGAGAGACTGCGACAAACCTGCCCTGGCAGCCTTCTTGCACATCACCACCGGACCCAGCTGACAGTGATCGCCGACGAGGATCAACTGCTTCGCCCCGAGGACGACCGGCACCATGCACTCGGGCTCGGTGGCCTGCATGCTCTCGTCGATGAGAATCGAATGGAACTTGAGCCTGTGCAATCTGGGATCACCGGCGCCGACGCACGTGCAACAGATCACGTCGGCGGCCTCCAGCAGTTCCTTCTCCGCCGCCTTCTTCAACAGCCTGTAACGTTTCTCGTCCACGCTGGACAGTTCCCCGGTCTCGTCTTTCAGCTGCTGCAACTTCTGTAGCTCGGTGTTCGTCTCCATGTTCTTGATCTGATTGTGAAGAGCGAGGAAGCTGACCGGCGAGTCGATCGCTTCTCGGGATTTCGCGCAGAGTCGTACGACCTTCAGATTCGACTTGTGTATCTTCTCCGTGAGCTGGTCCACGGCCGTGTTCGAAGGCGCGCACACCAGAACGGGGCCGCCGTTCTGTTTCACCAGCTGATAAACTATCGTGGCACTGGTGACGGTCTTCCCCGTGCCGGGCGGGCCTTGGATCAGAGACAAGGGCCTCTGTACGGCGTGTTTCACGGCGTACACCTGGGACCGGTTCAAGTCGGGCAGGTTCGGCGCGCTGAAGTGCTTGGGCAGGTGACAGCGAAACAGAACTTCCTCCACCTCGTGCCCCAACAGTCTGTGATAAATATAGCCGGACACGGAAGTGTCGTCCACGGCGAATTTACGCAACGCTAACTGCATTCTACGACCAAAGGGAATCGAGTTAGAGACCGTACGTGCAGGCTGGGTAAAGAAAATTCGCTGAAAGTTCGATGATCGCTTACCGGTCGAAGCTCGTACTCTTCCAAATGAAATCGACGACGAAGTTACTGACGCACTCGGTCGGCGCCCCGGAGTTGTTCTTCAATTCGATTCCCACCTCCTCCCCGTAGTTGTCGGGGATCTTGATCACGTGGCCGATCCCGGACCAGGGCTTGTGAAGCTCGCCCAGATAACGGAGCCTGAGCTCGTCGCCGTGCATCAATTTCATGTCGCCGTCCGTCTTAGCCAACATGAAATAGGCGATCGTCTTTTTATTCAGACCAACGTCCCAACGGACTTCGATGTTCTCTTGCGTCTGAGACTCCTTCAAACGTTTGTCGTAATCGGCTTCTAATTTAACGAGCGGACCAAATATGTTTTGGTACTGGTATCCATCCTCGTACCGCAGAAGCACTTGCTGCGGTTCTTCGTCCACGCCGGGCTTCTCGAGGTCTTGGAAGGTCGCGTCGACGTTGTCCCGCCACAATTCTTCCAGTTTGTTAATCTGCTGCGCGGAAATTTGCCTGGCGCGCAGCTGTTCCTGCTCAGACGGGATCTTCACAAGCCACGCCAGAAACGAACGGTCTTCGATCAATGGCTTCCATTGTTCCTGATCCCTAACGGAATTCAATAACGATTAGACGTCGATCGCGCGAACGCGCCCACCAACAATCTCGCCTACCAGTTCATGTCTTTCAGGGAACTCTGAGCCGCGCAGGGTTGGCGACAGAGTAACACGACGACCGAATCTGCCTTGGCAGGAATGAAACCGAGAACAAAAACATTCCTAACAGCACAAGAGTAACACTCCAAAACAGTCTCTCCCAGAGGACCATCTCTGTAATTGACAACGAGGAACACATACAATAGATAAAGAACAAAAAGTCGTTGCGTACGATCGAGGTGGTGATACACCGAGGTCCAATACCTGTGCAACGTGACTTCCTTATGCTTGGCCCGGACGAGATGGTTGATGATATGGGAACCGGACGTGTTTCCACGCCCGTTGCAAAACCATTTGCGGCAGACGTTACACATAACGACGCAGGACGCTTCGTGGATACCGCAGTATTTACATGCATGTTCGGGTAGGTCACGATTGTAGTAAGCTTCCTCCTCTTCTTCCTCGAACTGTAACTCGGCAAGGCTCTGCGCCGCTCCGGAGATCTTCAAGTCCAGAGACGAACTCCCGCTCGTCCCGTTGACCTGGATAAAAAAGAACAGAGAACGTTCATCCGAGATCGCTTATCCGTGCACGTGATCAATGTTTCTATCTTCACCGAGTTCATCTGTGTTTACGTGTTACACGATACATCTGCCTTTTTCAAGACTACTTCGCTTTTCATAATTTACGATAACGGTGTACGGTCTGCGCGAGCGGTAGACCGTTACCATCTTCCTCGCGTACGCCGGAACGGCGACAATACGCTGCTTACAAATTATTCAGCTCGCATAACGCTACGCGAAACGTTGGTTCCATCGCGAGAATCGGGCTAACCTCCGCTCGTCGAAAAATTACCGATCGCGTCCGTAAACGTCGACTCAAACGGAAAGAGAGCCCGTTTACGGTGTATCGTTACGTTCGTAGACATCGTTTCGCATATTACACGGTACGCGATGAGCAACGAGCGTAGGTAAAGACACGACGGTGAGGCGTGGACGATGTGGGGAGCGATGTGTTGGCAGCAGAATTAATAGAATCTCGAGAGCGTGGTTGTGTGGCGATTTTAGAAGAGTTCGATGCAACGGGAAGAGCAAGGCTGAGGAGGGAAGGAGAATGTACAGGTTAGAAGTCGAACACGCTGGAACGTATGACGAGGCGGAGAACCGACCTGCACGGGTTGGCTAGGTTGGCTTTGGCCAGCATCGTGTTGCGAGGCCTGAGTTTGACTCGGCGACGGTAACGTGAAATCGGTGAAGTCGAACTCGCTACCCTGCGTGTCCGCGCCGATCAAGTCTGCTTCCTCGGTGTCGAGGAACGTCAGGGTCTGACTGCTGGGCCCGTACGCGTCGACGCTCATCCTGCAGCACTGTTCGTCGCCCGACGTTCTTTCGGTCTCCTGCAAGAAGATAGATCCGTGTCTGCTGCCCACGGCCGCTCTCGTGCAACGAACGGACCGTTTGGGGTTTCGGCGAACACCGCCGAGTCGACGGTAGATAGTCGGTCTGGTCGCGGTTCACAGTCAGAAACGTCGCGGCACACGCACGAAACGCTCGCGTCGATCAACGTTAACGAAACGATGGACGAACGAAACCACCGGGGAGTAGGAATACCGTGAAACTCTAAATCGCTCTCGATTATGACTGTTCGACGAAAGAGACCAGGGAAGCGAATGCTACGCCATACTTCGTCTCGCGCAAGTCTCGCGCCCACCAACACCGACGAGAAGACACAAGACACAACGCTAACGTTTCTTCTTTGCGCTCGTCGCGTGTTACGTCATCAGCTGATTTCCAACCGCGTCCCGACGAGAGATCGGGGCTCGACTTGCACTCAACAACGTTGTCCGGAATGAGATTCGGAACGGCCGCCGATTCGTTGTTCCTACTGGCCAACGACGATCGCGCTTCGCTTCTCTCGCGATTCGATCGATTCGATCCTCCGTGCCGATTGGTGCCGATCACCTCATTTCATATCCTCCATGGTCGGTCAGTTAACGTTTCATAATCTACGAGTTCCGTTCACCTTTCACAGATGGCGCGCATCTAGTGTTGCGTACACAATGGCGGGAATACGAGGCGCGACTTTTTTACTTTGCCTCTTATGTTTGTATCGTTTCAACGGCTGTGTAACACATCACATCGATTGTAAAACAAGTTTTTGTCCAATTTGATCGTTCAGATGAAATTCTGTTGCTTCCGACGAAAGGAATGCTTCCCCAAAAGGAATAGGTATGTATGCAAACGTATTCTCGTTCGCAACGATGGATCATCAGCGAGGATGCAGCTGGGGAATCATTTGAAAAGTAATCTGCTCGTTGGAAGGCCGACTTGAGTATCGTGAAAAAATGATAAAGGAGAATTGGGAATCGGCGTGGCGACCGACGAGGACGCGAACGATGTTTCTAGGCGTGGGCGAGGGTAACGATATAGACAAGATTAAAAAATTCATACTTTGGATATTTTATTAAAATATACATTTCATCCAAAATACAAAAGGAAAAGATGTATATACAATTGTATTTCAAAAGTTCTGCGCAATAATGATAATAACAACGGTTATAATAGCAATAATAGTAATAATAAGGTAATTGCAGTGTCGTAATAACGTGTCCGATGTAAAATTTATAGCGCACAGCTTGGTGCACCGAATCCTTTTAACCGAACGCTCAAAAGGATTGTCTGATTGAAACGATCATTTCCATTTCTCGTCATCCTCCCCGTTCCGATATTTCGCTTTCTCTTATCTCATACCAATTAACGTTAGTAAAATATCCTGCTATTCGGTAGAATAAGATTCTGTTATTGCCGAGCACAGTACACGATGCATCTTTACGCGTAGAATTCCAAGTCTGGTCACCATACACCTTCGTCAAGAGAAACTCGATCATCGCTGATCTCCGAACGTTCATATACTTACATAGAATTCGAGAGAGAGAGAGAGAGAGAGAGAGAGAGAGCTTTATATATACCCGTACAACATTGATAATCCCTTCGATTTACAACAATTAAGATTCCGCAGTGAAAATCAGTTCCCGTGATATGTATAC